AAAATACAGATTTCAGACAACACTTCCTGTTACTTCCTTGTCGTTTAGCTCAGTGGAGCTAAGATCAGGAGGCAGCAACCTGACTTACAAAGACTTCTCATTGAGCTGCATTAGGAAGTCTGTGATTGGACAGTCACAGAATGCCTGAGCCGGGGAAGAAGGGGAGGGCTTCCAAAGGCAACAAACAAGAGAACTGCAGCTTTTGAAAGCTGGTGTTTGATATAGCCCCAATGAAAAAAAAATACATAATTAAATGCATGCTTGTTTTATATTTGAGGTATATCTACTAAACAGTGATTTTTAAAGCAGTATTCTTTTAAGGAGTACAGGGGCAACATGTCAGAAGAGCAATAAAAAATATACATGATTGATGTAAAAAAAAAATAATGTTTTTAGTATTTAGCTAGATGATTAGAAGTACAGAACCAAAAGTATTATTGCACCGTATCTTAGCCAGATAGTGTGAATTGAATTCATGGTATAATGGTGTAACAGCTAGTTTGGTAGTGATTTTGCGCAAAATAGGGAAATGGGAAAAAATCACTTTTATGAAGTGAAGTGAAGATATTAATTTGGAGACAGAGGAGAGGCAGTTTTTCTTTTTACCCTTCCCCTCTTTCTAGTAATGTTTTTCACTTTCTTTTATTTTTTTTATTTTTTTAAAAGCTCTTTATTTGTGTTGTGCAAAAGAGGTACATACATACAAGGGACCCGCGGGAGCAGGCTGCTGGGTTAGAGAGTTGGACTGCTCTTGCTGTTCATGATGCTCAGTCAAAGTATTGCTAGTGGTGACAGGTAAGTCCTCTGCTGAGGCCATCTTGGGCCGGCTTTGTGTTTGGAGCATGGTCCCACTATCCCTGTTGTCAGGCGGGGTACTGGGTCTCTGGGAGTCATGCCCCATTGCAGTCATTTGATCATTCATCCCAGGCTGTAGTTGAGCAGGGTTATCCAGCTCCCTGTCCATATAGGCACAGCTGAGCAGGTTCCCCAGACCTTGTAATCTGCATGGTGTAGACCCTGGATTTATGTCTCCGCTTGGACGTTTTAGGCGTCAGGAGAAAGGGCATCAAATGATGTGGCCGCAACCCCTTGTTTCCAGTGAAGGGTCTTTGGAAACTTGATTGTATGTGTAGGCTGAGATTTTGACAAGATTGGGATAGATTCGATGGGACTGTCAGATATGGTGACCGATCAGCTCTGTTGTTGGCTTCGCCCCATGTTTTTCCCCTTTCAACTGGGTGGTTTCTCTGCCCCCTTGTCCTGAGATCTCGTGGAACTGGGATGAGGGTCGGATGTGCTGCCTTTAACAAACAAAAAAGGAGCGCAGTGGATGGATATCTATTGTCATTTGACATTGACTGTACTGCATAAAGTGACGTACTCTTACTGTTCACACACTGTAAAAGAGTTTAATATATGCTTCTTCATTCTGTAAATGAATTTATCTGTGCTCTACTGCGAAATAAATTAGGAGAAAAAAAAAAGGAAAATGCGTATTGAGAGGAAGGGGTGTAGAAGTAGGCTTAATTAACTATGACCTATGTTTAATTAACTGTAATGGCATAATTAACTGAAACCTAATCTACATATTGTAAAAAACGCACCTTGCGTGTCCCTTTAAAGTAAATTTGAATGTGGAATTTATTGTTGTAGATTGTATTTGATATAATATGTCTGTAAGACATGGTTTAACCTTCTTAAAACCAGCATGGCATGTATAGTAAGACAATGGTAGGATGTTAGGTTTAGGAATGAAATTGCCTTTTTTTTTTTTAAGTCAGGAAGGAATTTGCTGTGTTTTTCTTTTTTTGCTCAAAGGAAATTTGATATTACTCAACTGAACAGATCACTGTCAGTAACCCTTCACTTGCCCTGTTTTTTTTTTTTGGAATTTTTTTTACAGAAAAATAAAACCAAAAACAATAGTTCATAAAGTCAACATACCTTCAAGGCATTTTAATAGAAAATGCAACAAGTATATTATAACTTTTATGGCTGCTGACCATGCATTATATCATGTATCTGCTTTCTATGAAAGAGTTACAAATGGAAAATCGAAGCCAAAACACAGCAATCTGCTCTTTTTGTATCAGGATGTCCAAATACACATCCCATTGCCACCCTAACACTGATATTATTTGCAAAATGCATTCATTGTTCAGAATAGATAAAGAAAAAGAAAAGAAGTTGGCTGGATTTATTTAATTGGCCTGATTAGTCACATGATATCACACAAATCACTATTCTTGGCAGAAGAGTTAATGGGGAATCGCAGACCACAAAAGACATTACTAAACACTTTTAATTTATACTCAAATTGTTACAGGTGGTCTTCCAGTTGTGTTGTTTAATACGTACAATATTATATGCAGAAGATTACTTTAGGTGAGCCAACTATTCACTTGAAGGTGACCATAATTATATTGACAGCAGATGTTTATAATTTTTTGTAATATTGCTTAGACACCTGAGATCAATAAAATGTCTCCTGAAGTCACAGGTAAAGTTAACTCTCTTTCTTTCCATGTAATGAATTAGCCCATAGATGCCAGTGATGAAGAGGAATGAATAAGGTCCCTTGCTGAATTTTTTTTTTTATGTGCTAGTCCATCACATTGGTTATGCTTTGTAGTTACTACAGAATTATTATTTTTTGACTTGTAAGGGAATATTTTTTGTGTCTCTCTTCCTCACCTGGCCCCTCAGTGTATCTCTTAGTCCATCCCCCAGCCCTGTGCATGTCTCTTTGTATTTCCCAACTCCTCCATGTGTCTCTTTGCCCCCCAGCCCATCAGTGTGTCTCTTTACTCCACCAGCTCTCTGTGTGCCTCTTTACCACCCACAGCCCTTTTGTATGTCTGTTTGCCCCTCTCAGCCCCCTGTGTCTCTTTTTGCACCTGTGTGCCTTTTTCTCCTCCAAGTCCTCTGTGCGTCTCTATGTCCACCCTAGTCCTTTTGTGATCTTTCCCCCCTTGTGCCTGCTCACTTCCCTGTACGAGGCTCGGACCGCGTTAGAGAATCTTCTGTTTCCTCTCCCTGGTCTCACTGGAAGCTGTTCTATGATCTCTGACACTTCCTGTCAGACCAGGGCGAGGATACAAAAGATCCTCTACCGCTGTCTGTGGCTCGGCCAAGCTACATACAGTGACAGGCAGTAGGGGAGCAGTCACCCGGACATTGCTTCCCCCGGGCCTTTGCGAATGCCTTACTTGCCTAGCTGTTGCACAGGCCCTGCCCCTTGATAACTGAGAAAAACTAAATGAGTAGAGGCTTCTCCTATGCCAGAAAAGTGACCCCACAGTGGGTTAGGATTTTTATGTTCTAACGGTGAATGTTAATCTGGCAATCAGAAAACAGGTATAGGTGTACCTACCGTATATTTCATGACACTAGGCTGGAAATGTATTTTGGCACTGCCCCAAACTGTAGAATTTGTCTAACGATGCACCCCCAACCACTTTTTGTGAGTTTAATTCCATGCAATATTCACATTCGTATACATACATATTTACACTTACTTTCATACATTCATGTAAACACATGCGTTCATGTACACATAAATTCAGAGACATACACATACACACAGACACATATAAACACACATTCACACACACACAAACTCATACACACATTCATATACACACAGAGAGTCATATAAACACATTCATATAGGCGCACAGCACAGACTCATTTATACACTCATATGTAATGTATATATTCATAGTTTTCACCTTATATGGAAGAACTGTAGTGGGCCAGTGTGTTCAATGACTGCCCTGCTCCCTTCTGTTCTATACATCTCAACTCCAGCAGGGCCCACTCTGAAGCTCCATACAACAGCCGTATAGCAGGCACCTGTCGCATCACCCCCTCCAACAATGTGTCGGTTGGCAGGTTCCTGCTCTATGCACTCCCTGCTACCTGTCACCTGGGACAGGCTACTTCTGAACAGCTTAAAAAATATTTTACCATATTTCACCCTTTTCTAAGCAGTAGGTACCGTTTTTAGGCATACTACTATAATATATGTCTTTTCATATATACATATATTCATAATTATATAATACATGTTCATATATTGTGTCTTTTATGTATAACATATATCATATGTTCATTTGTTTGTTTCATTAGAAGGTGGAGTCAATGTGTGGGATAGTATTTTCAGACCATACATACTTTTGAATAAATAGTTCAATGATAAATGTCGTTAGGATTAGAAAAAAAAGAATATAATAATCAAATATTTTTCACACATATACAGGCTTATTCAGTAAAGTTGGAACTGATGGGAATTCAAAGTGAATTCAAATTAAATGTAAAATTTTAGATAGAAAAAAATATATAAAACTGACTATGATAATTTGTTTACAGTTGGTTATTGTAATAGCTGCTCCCTGATGCCCCCACTTTATATACAATATCCCGTAAACGTGCAGCCAAAACAGCTGCCCCATGGTCCCAATACCTGCACAAATTTGGAGGGGTCCATCAGGTATGTGTCTGAGAGTGTGTGTGAATGTGTGTGTATCTGATTGTATGTATGTATGTATGTATGTGCCAGTGTGTGAATCTGTGTGCCTATGTGCCAGTGTGTGTATCTGTGTGTCAAGGTGTGTGTATGTGTCACTGTGTATATCAATGTGTCAGTGTGTGTATATGCCAGTGTGTGTGTTTATGTGTCAGGGTGTGCAGGTGTGTGTCAAGGTGTGTCTATGTGTCAATGTGTGTGTATGTATCAAGGTGTGTGCATGTGTCAGTGTGTTAATAGTGTGTGTAATTAGTTGCAATATGTTGTTAAATAAATAGTTGTGTTCTGTCATAATAAAACATCATGTCCTTATTGATACATGTTTGGTGGCTGTGTGTGTGTGTTTGGGGGAGGGGGCACAGTAGCTGGTGAAGCCACCTCCCTAAAATGAGTTTTTCATGTTGGAATGTCTGTAATATCCGTAATGATAATATAGCCTGGCCTTACCTACAGAAGATTGTATATTTAATACGTGTATTCCAGTGATCAGAAACCTTCTCTTAAGGACATATAGCAGCCTATTGTCTTTAATTAACTGTTACACCAAACTGTCTGAGTGAAAGACAAGTAAAGGCTGCTAATATCCTTATTCCTGATTGTCTTTATCTTCTCCCTCCCACTCTTCAGTTTGGATTATGTCATTGTACAGTTCAACTTCAGCTCGTCTTGTGCTCTTTCAAAGTACTTGGATAACTGATTTACAACCTGCTTTTATATTCCTTGGTTGATGTTTACCTGGACTTGCCCTGGATTGAAAACTTGTGTAGCAGACTATAAGAAGTGCAAAAAAAGAAATCTGCCTCCACAGTGAGTTAGAAAAGTTATATTTATCTGAGCAGCCCTGGGCAATTTTCTTTTAATCCTAGACGTTCCTTGGGGACAGAAGGGAAAGAAGCGGAGCTGATTTCCCCAATTTTTCACAGTGCTAGCATTAACAGAGCTGTGAATAGACAGTTCAAATAAGGAGAGACAGAATTAGCAGCCAAAGAGAACCCCACACAGAGAACACAAAGATGAATGACACACAAAATGGAACTACTCAAATTAACCCCATCTGTAGGAACAGGCAAGCACCTTATTCTTACGAAATCATCCAAAGTAAGTTCAAAATTGTCTTTATCATAACCACGCTGTAAGTTTGGTTGGACTAATTTTCCTTTGTTTTCTTTGATTATATTTTCATTTTCCTTTGTTTTGTTTTTTTGCTTCTTTTATAATATTTTATATTCGCCTTTTTAAGATCAGGATCAATATTAAAACAAACTCCCATTTGCAGGAACCCATTCAATGAATGTGGACCAGGTGCACCAGTTTATGTTGAACATATGTGACAACTGCATCAGCTTGATATTTATTGTGTGATTGTTATTTTATTTAATATTATATATATATTAAAGTTATTGAACCTTATGAAACCGAATGTTGGAGGTAAAATAATGGGTCACATTGCATAAGCCTGCTATAACATAAATGTACCCCATGGTGACAAATATACATGAACGTTCAGACCTTTAGTACACTTTGTGAAAGCTAATATGTTATGGTTATCTCTGCTTTTTCATGCATACCAGTTTCTATCAATACTAAAGGCTTGCTCCCAATATTGCTAGTGGTTACCAGCCACATACTACTATGCTCAGATGGCTGTTGCTACTAACTGTGAAATTTGACCAGTAGCTACAACACTTTGTCTAACGCCAGATGCTTAGTTGTAGTTAATGGTTCCTATTATTCTCTATACTAGGAGTTACCTGATACTTAATGACTAGTTTTCAACACAGGCGCTACTGTTTAACAACTACCAGTAACCCTCAACACAAGCCTCTTGCCTGGTAGAAAGAACTCAACACACGTAACTGAAAATATATCCTATAGAAAAAAAATACATGTTATAGCTATATGGAATTATGGTAAAACCCTATAACACATATCAACGCATATTAGACCATATGTAAAAAAAAGTATGCCAGTATGAAAACCATGATATAAAATATAGTTATTCTTTATATATAGGTGTCATATAAATGAACAATTCACACACAAGAAATTACCTCAAAAGTTACATAAATGTGTCCTTGGCATAGCACAAAATCACAGTTTTATGCATTGTATACATTGTCATGCTGCTAAGACAGGTTGTGGTTGTCATGGTGACAACGTACACACCATGTGTTTCTGTACTTTACCAGCGAAAGGAATGCAAGTGGTTGGTATCTTTGCGAGTAGACATTTTTGGAAGTCAACTGATAATGTTGATGCAATTTTAAAATTCAGTCAGTAATTAGAGGCCACTACTGTTATAATAGACAGCTTGTGGTGGCTATTTACCATTTAGGTTGGAAATAAGCCCTAAACTATTCTGCAAAGTTATGGATGAGTGGATTTTGTGTAGGGGAACAGTAATATAGTATTAGAGAAAGGAACTGATACACAGGACGCATGCGGCTGCTTCTGGGTGGCCCAGGAGAGGTGGAGGGGGGCTCAAAAACCACCCTGTGCCTTGGGGGCTTTTCACTATGTCAGAGTAAGCTACACTGCCCAAATGTACCAGATCCAAGGGTGGTGTGCAGGATATTCTTCAACTCTAAATATCCCCTTTCTATAATTGTAAAGTATTGTGTAATATGCTGGTGCTGTATACATGCTAATAATAGTAATAATTGTGATCACTGAGCACTGCTTGGACAGCTCCTTCGCACACCATATAGTGATGCTGGGAGCCAGGGCCGGACTGGGAATGCAAAGCAGCCCTGGAAAAAAATATATGCCAGTCCCATAAGTCACTGTGCCACGGTGTGTGTGTGTGTGTGTGTATATATATATATATATATATATATATATATATACACACATACACAAACACTACTGTGGCAGAATGACTTATAGGGCTGGCATACATTTTTTCCATAGATTATATATATATATATATATATATATATATATATATATAAATAAAATCTATGTTTATGAATCAGGATTACTGACACACACAAATTCATTGACAAACACAGACAAGCTTACAGGTACACAGAGAATCTCATTGACAAACACAGACAGGCAATCTCACAGACAGGCAATCTCCCTGACACACACAAGTTCATTGACAAACACAGACAAGCTTACCGGTACACACAAACTTAGTACAGGCAAACTCTGACAAACACACAAGCTTACTACAGACAAACTCACTAGTATACACAAAGATGCTTACTACAGACAAGCTCACTGACACACATGCTCACTACAGACAAGCTCACTGACACACATGCTCATTACAAGCTCACTGACATAAACATGCTTACTACAGACATGCTCACTGACATACACATATATGCTTACTACAGACATGCTCACTGACACACACATACATGCTCACTACAGACATGCTCACTACAGACATGCTCACTGACACACACATACATGCTTACTATAGACGGGCTTACTGACACACACATAAATGCTCACTGCAGACATACATACATGCTTACTACAGATGTGCTCACTGACACACACATACATGCTCACTACAGACATGCTCACTGACACACATACATGCTTACTACGGATGTGCTCACTGACACACACATACATGCTCACTACAGACATGCTCACTGACACACATACATGCTTACTATAGATGTGCTCACTGACACACATACATGCTTACTACACACATGCTCACTGACACATATACATGCTCACTACAGACATCAGGGTCGCCATCAGAAATTGTGGGGCCTCTAACATAGCACAAGGTCTGGGCCCCTGTGTACCCGCCTCCAAGCCCCGCCTCCAAATCCCACCCACAGGAATACACACACAGACACAAAAGGACACAGACACACACACATAAAGATACACACATACTAACAGACACAAATACTGAAACAGACATACACACATATAGACACATACACAGATACACACACACACTGACATACAGACACACACACTGATGTACATACATACTCACATAATGACAGACACACACATACATACAGACATACAGAGAAACAGACATACAAACAGACACACATACATACACATACTGACATACATACATAATGGCATACATACACATACATACTGATATACATACATACAGACATAAACACATACACACACGCAGATAGATATATACATACACAAATACATACAGACATACTGACATACACACACACAGACATACATGCATACTGACATACATACTGATAGATATATACATACACACATACATACTGACATACACACACAGACATACATACATACAGAAATATATACATACTGACATACACACACACATACAGATATACACATACACACATACATACTGACATACACACACACAGACATACATGCATACTGACATACATACATACATACTGACATACACACACACAGACATACATACTGACATACATGCATACTGACATACACACAGACATACATACATACTTGCAGACACATACACAGACATACATACTGACAAACAGACATACATACAGACATATATACATACTGACATACACACACACACATACAGATAGATAGACACATACACACATACAGACATACTGACATACACACACAGACATACATACTGACATACACACAGACATATATATATATATATATATATATATATATACATACTGACATACACACACACAGGCATACATACTGAAATACACACACAGACATACATACTGACATACATGCATACTGACATATACACACACACAGACATACATACTGACATACACACAGACACACACAGACATACATAATGACATACACACAGACAGACATACACACACAGACATACATACTGACACACACACACAGACATACATACTGACATACACACATACTTGCAGACACACACCTCATTTATCAGCCACCCTCCTCTTACCTTACCTTAAGTTGCAGGAGGGTGGCTGGGGATGTGGGTATGCGGGAGTGGATGCCTCTGGTGTCCCTGTCCTGTCCTCTCCCTCTCCCCCCGCGCGGAGTAAGCTGGGAAGAAGTGACCGGACGTCACTTCCTCCTAGCAGCACTTGCGGTGTAGCCGCTTTTTTTTTTTTAAAGGGGCCCGGTCGCGGCCGCAGCGCTGACCGGGCCTCTGAAGATATAGGGCCCATCGGGTGGCCCTAAATGCTTGGGCCACCTGATGGGCCCCGGTGCAGATGCACCTGCGGCAGTTTCGCCGCTCCACGTGGGGCCCGGGCGGCCAGGCCCCTGAGGGCCGCCGGGCCCGTGACAACCATTATGGTTGTCACCCCCTGATGGCGGCCCTGACAGACATGCTCACTGACACACACATGCATGCTTACTACAGACATGCTCACTGACACACACATAACTTGCTTACTGCAGACAAGCTCACTAAAACACACATGCTCCCAACAGCAGGCACACACACTCACACACACACACACACAAGATCCCTCTCACTCACTAGCTGCAGTGCATTTGAAGTCTACCTGGCACTGCGGGCTGCTGCTGTGGAAGCCCTGGGAGGTGAGGACTCCATTCCCTGGCCTCTTCCTGCCCTGAGGTCACCAGATTGTAGCTGGGGGGGTGGAGCTTGCAGCTGGGGCAGAGCTTGAGTGCCAGAAAGCTCCCTCCCTGCAGTGCTCCCTCCGCCCACCCCATCCTCAATGCGGCCGCACAGGAACCAAGCTCATCCCTCCATAATTCACTCGAACTCTCACAGTCTGAGGGAAAACTATAGGTACTAGGGCTTTCCAGTCTCTCCCCGGCTCCAAGTGCTGCGGCCCACCAGGAAATCTCCCGGTATCCCGGGGGCCAGTCCAGCCCTGCTGGGAGCCAGCAATGTCCAAATCATTTTGAGTGTGTAATTATATGTATTTCATGATGTATGAAAATATATGTGTTGGTGTGTGTGATTATTTGTGTGACTATATGTTTATGTCTGTGTGATTGAGAATAAGTATGTGTGTGAAAACTTATGTGTATCAGAATGTGTGGGTGTGAGTATGAATGTTTATGATAATGTGTGTGAGAATGTTTTGGGGGGTGCTCTCATATTCTGCTCTTACAGTAGCATTAAAAGTAAAATCAGTGTGAGAGTCACCATTCGGTGTGAGAGTCACCATTGTGTAGCTTTCACAGACATCCTAATTGCTGGGCACCATGCTCATGATATGTGCATGAGAGCCTCACAATCAACGGGTTAAGGGTGTGAGGAATGTATCTACTCATGTGTAGCCAGAATCCTTGCATAGGCCCTGCTGTAAACCCTTGGTTTGTATCAGCAAACAAACTGGATTTTTAGAAGATAGTCTGTGATCTGTATAGAAACAGCAGCAAAAAGTAAAATTATTTACATGGAAAAAAAGAAAAAAAGAAAACAACCTCATATAGTAAGTACGTTTCTGTTAGCTAATTATAAAAGCGTTTCGGAGGATATGATTATTTTCTTAGCATTTGGTCTTGTGTTGTTAAATACGATATGTTCTTGAACAGTGAATTTCAGCATAGAAATTGCTTGTTTTAGCATAGAAATCTGTTGTTAAATAGTAGGTATGTGTTCATGAGCCACTATACACCTGCAAGCATAATAATGGTCTGTTTGCAAAGAATTTAATTATTATTGAGCCAGCCTGCTTTTAACTTTTTTCAGACAGTACATTATCTGTACATTAGTATATTATACGCAGTTGATAGCCCTATATAATAAAATATGACTCATACATTATTGCTTACCTATCTGCTTGCTAGTGTATTTTCAGAATGTACCTTGGCCATTAAAATCACATTCTTATAAAATACCCTGCTGAGTGTAAACTCAAGTTGGACAGGAAGAAAACTGTAAAATCCCATTAAAATTGTGTAAGATGTTTCTACATTTTAATTAGTGACAAAATGTACTTTTCCAGGGAGGGTAGTAATAAAAAAATAGATACTACTCAGCTGCATTAAAATAAATTCTTCTCTGAAGGGTATTTATTACCCGCTTCAATTCTTCTAGAGAAATTTGGTCATTTTATCTGTGATGGTCAAAGGCTCTCAATGAGGTAATACAATCATACCTCATCCTCTTCCATTGGGGACCAATAGATACCACAGATGTGACTCCAAGAAAAGAATATACAAAAAAATCTGATTCAATCCTATCGTTATACTAGGACATAATCATTAGTGGTAGAAACAATACAACAGTTTCATACATACAGGAGATCGCATGGAATTTCTGGAAATTTCATTAACAATGTTATAATCATGTTTAGTCACTTTTAGGTGGGAAGTCTTTCTGAACTCATAACCTCATTATCAGGAATTCTGTGATATCTTGAAGGCAACAGGCATAGCACTGGTTGGTGCGATCTTCTGGGTAAGGATGAGAAATGGCAGTTCTCAGTGATTTTTGTGTGTGGGGTGGCAAATAAGCAGCTCACTTTCCCATGATGGGCAAAAGGAAGAAAAAAAAAAAAAAGAAGAGGATTGATGGTTACGACGACAGCCACTAAATGTTGATTTTATTCACAGATCAAGTGAATTGACCAATAGAGTGGAAAAAAGGAGGATCAATAAAACAACAATACTTTCAAGTTGGATTTTTAAGACACTTTGACTTTATCTATCCAGGGAGACAGACCAGCAGTAATGCAGTGTATTGGAGTGGGAGCCTGGGTCTTGTATTCTACTTTGTATCTAGCATTAGCTTATGCTGTACCGAGCAGTTAGTACTGCCAGAAGAAAATTTTGAGCGGGAAATAGGAAATTGACAAAATACCTGCTAACCTGAATGTCATTGATCTTAGTGTGAGACCAGTATACCAGTATACAGTTGTTAAAAACGGGGGGCGGGGCTTGGAGGCAGAGGGAGCTGGAAGCAGCATAGCTGAGCTCCTCGACAGAAAGTCACAATAATGCCGATCTAACGGGATTAAAGGGGCCAATTTTTGTAATACTCCTCACCTACTTGAACAGGAACACACTTTGGCTCTGACCCCAATTAAGTTCCTTTAAGGAAAACCTGGGGTGGTGTGCTGCATACTTGCCTGCAGCCTGCTAGCTGAAACGAGGTGGGGGAAGTGGCCGATTCTCCGCTCACACCTTGAAGACCTGAGCTCTGTTCCTCCCCCTCTGGACCGGTCGGGGTCATCCCGGTCCACTTCTGCACTGTCCCTTGACTAGCTAAAAGCAACAGGACCTCTGTGTTGGGACATAAGAGCATTCAACTCTACTTACTTAAAATGGCAGCTGACTGCGCAGTGCTGGTTGCTGGAGGCCACACCAAACAGACGCAACCCCTTAGCAGCTTCCTTGAACACTTTGATAGTCTGTGTGCCGCATTCTGGGAAAGGTGAGGCAGGAGGCGGAGTCAGGACGATGGGGATCACGGCTGCAGCCTCAGTCTTCACTACATGGGCCATTCGGATTTTGGACAGAAAAAGGAAGGCGACCACCCGGGAATCCTCATAACCAACATGGCAAATCAGTCCGAGGGGGAAGTGAACCGCGACGCGCTGACACCTCTCAGGTTAGCTGTAACGAATCGCTTAGCACCCAGTACCTCCGTTTGACGGATGCGCCGAGTGCTTCCCGAAGGCTCCAAGCACTCCACTAGACACCACAACCACCGCAGACCCAACAAACTGCCGCAGCTTGGTTGGAGTCACGCCGTCTTCCACCCACTCTGGACCCAAGACCAGGATCCATCTTCCAGTAGGCAGACCTCTCTTAGAATCCAGAGAGCAGGAACAGGAACAAGCTCTTACAAGAGCTTACTCTGAGGAGTATAGTGATTATAGCAGTCCCTAGAGTGTAGGTAGTTCTCCAATCCCCCAAACATGAGCTAAGACTTCATGAAGGGTAGAACAGGTCTGTTTAATGAGCACAAATACATTTCTTTTATACAGTTTTCCCCACAAGGTTACCACCCATGTGGACGTTGTGCAGCACAGGACACAAAATCACAACAGCCAATCAACACAGTATTGTACAGTTAGACACTCCCAGCTAATGTACACAAACCCTCCCCTCTGCCTGTGATACAATTACCAAACACAATGGACTAACTCAATTACCACAGGCAGAAAATATCTAGTTTTACCCAAAGTCCAGAAACACCCCAAAACAACAACATATCCCCACAAATATATATCCCTGGATAGCCCTGATCTGGGTGAACAACATATCCAAAAATCACCCAGATCAGAGCAGGGGTTTAAATGTTTTATGGAAGTCACATTTGACCAACCGCAAGCATGGCTTTCATGCCCAAAACAGATTTAGGCTGTGTGGCCGGTCTATCTTCAACTCTATCCTGGAGATAATTGGCTTAAGTGGCTGTGGTAACTAAATTATCTCCAGGTACAGGAAATATCTCTAAGTCAGAAATTGTTACAAAAACCACATAAAAATACATAACTCTTATAATACAATGTTTAACCTATATGTCCAACATATTCCCAGATAGCTTGGATCTGAGCGCTCAATATGTCCAATGTTAAAAGTGCGCTATAGTACAAATAAGGGTGGGGTCAGAAAATAGCTAGGGCTGATGGGAGATTGAGAAGTGACAAAGCAGCCAGTTTAATCTGGTCTGGAAGTGTCCTTGGGACAACGCCCTGCTGGAGAAACAATAGGACAGGAAAAAGGGGGAGGGGATGAGGCACATTTTCCTATGGATTTAAAGGGGCAGAAAAAGTGTTTTAATATCCAATATGCCCAAATAAAGCTTTTAAAGGGCAATACATCCCAGGGGCCATAGTCACAGGGCAAGAGGCTGGCAAGTCATAGTAGCCTTAGGCATCGCATCACGTTCTGTCAACTTGGAGATGACTTTCAGTGCCAAAAGAGTTCCAGCATCCAGATGAGACTGCAGCTTCACTCCAGGCTCACATATCGGGCCTCCAGGATGGGCATCGGCTAAATGAAGCGTACTTCTGTGGGGACTTACTTTACTCACCACCGATTTAATGCATGATCCGATCGCATAGCCTGTGGTTAATTTTCCCAAGTTTTATCAGTTCTAGTTTGTGTTCTTTGTGCCTCTTAGCTTGCTTATACATAACTATGCTGGGCCCTCATCCTTCATTGCAAATGTTCTGTTGTCGTGGTCCCACCTTGCTGGCAGGGAAGCAATGGCGCACACGAAGAATAATGTGCAACCTCAGACAGGCCAAAGCCCAAACAGGCTCTTCAAGATAAGACTTATGAAACAGGTGGCAGAGAGGGAGGACAAAGAGGAAGCTGGAGATTATGCCTTCTGTGTGTGGTGCTCTGTGGGATCCATCAGCTGACTGGCTGTCACCACAGGTGAGATGAGAGGTTAAGAGAAGGGTGACTATCTAGAGCCAGCACACTGCTAATCTAGATATTAATTACTGAAGGGGTGGGGAGGGGTGAACTGAAGGCAATGGGGTCTAGGAGGAGAATCAGAGGCACTCATGCTGCCAGATTGTGTGAGTAACATGATTCCTACTTATGGAATTATAAAAGAGGTGTGAAAAATATCTGATGTCATCTAGAGCCATCTCTACACTGCAACCACAGACTCCCATCATCGAACACCTACTGAATCCAGATCCCACAGGACCCCAGGGAATCAACCCTCATGCCCCAAGAAGGGTGAAATTATGATTTGCATATGTGTGTTTATGTGTGCCTTTGTGTGTAAGTGTGTATCTGTATGTGTTTGTGAGTCAGTACCTTTGTGATAGTATTTGTGTGTGTCAGTATGTGTATGTATATATGTGCATATATCCCATCATTCAAATGCCAGTGCTACTTACAAATACACCCTGATATTCAAACACTAACACTACACACAAGCACACCACTGCAGTCCAACACTAACACTACACAAGAATACACCACTACATTCAAATGGCAACATTACAAACAAATACACAACTGTGTTCAAGCACCAACACTCAAGTCCATACATTCACGCACACATACTCCAGACGAAAATATGCTTACATTTAGGCACAAAGACACTGCTTACAAATACAGCCCTGCAAGGAAGGGCAAATTGTAGACCCCTAGGTGGCTAAGCATAATGGGAGTTATACAATAGCTCAGGATCTATCTTTTGACTACTGTTGCGCTAGAGGAGGGCCCAATAAAATTATTGCGCCAGAGCCATCTTTACATTCGGACACTTTCTTTCTATTTCTATTACAAGTGTTTTGTAGATATTAAATAGTTTAGCTAGTTTTTATCTTGTTTGGTGGATTTAAATGGGTCACAATAGTTGGTATTTCAAAAAAATTCTCCTTTATTAAATATAATATGTGGATGCACACTCTAATAAAATGTGCATCAGTTTGTTTTTTATTGATGTCAGTAACAAACCAACATTTTGTATTGTGTGTGGAACTGCACTCACTCCCATCAATCTGAGCCAGGGTGCTTACTGTACCGGAACCAAACACCAGATTCCCAGTTTAGTATAATAAAATGAAAGAGGTCCAGGCACTCCTTGGTTCAAGACAGGCACTTTATTGGAACCACAGCAACGTTTCGACTCAAGGGTCTTTGTCAAGCTTGACCCTTGGGTCGAAACGTTGCTGTGGTTCCAATACAGTGCCTGTCTTGAACCAAGGAGTGCCTGGACCTCTTTCATTTTATTGTAGTAACAAAGCAATAGTCATGATATAACATAATGTCAAAATGTTAAGATCATACTCAAGAATTGCTTACATGTACTTCAGCTGCATCTGTTTTTTTGAGCGTGTCATTCCCTGCTGTTGTCTAACAGTTGATTGTATTATGTTATGCAAGTGTTGGTATTTCTGCTTTTGATGTTTTGTGTCATAATGACACAGGAGACCCTAGCACACCAGCAACACTGCAGTAATACGAATGATGATTAAAGAAAATGTTATGCTGCTAGTTGCACATGTAACACGTGTAATATATTTGTAAACCTTCCCTTATAAAGAATAGTAATGTGATCTCCTTGAGTGCCACAGAGGTTGTTCACCCTTCAAAGGGTTAAAGAGAGATGGGTCACTGATCTTCTGTACTGATTAGACTCCAAATCAGATAGTATATGTAATAAAAGCAATTACTGATTGCTTTACTTGAAACCTGCTGTGATACAAATTTTGCTATCAATGATGACATCTTTCCACTGAAATACTGGTTAGTATGATAAAAGAGACAGAACCTTGTAGCTGGAGTTACCTCTATTGAATCTTCTGACCCTTCTGACAGTAACTTGATGTTATGGGACCTCTTGGTGCATGTCCAAACTGTATTGTCTGTAATGACATTCTTATGTGAGCGGTCCAGCAAGCTAAGTTGATAATAATCACACCCTGTAGTTTGCAGATAACAAGGCACTGGTTGTGCTCAGTAAGTGTAAAGGGGCATTTCGTCGAAACCCTTGTCATGTGGTTGGAGCAGCATTGATGCAATTACTGTGATTAAAGATAAAGGTTTAATTAAAACTCTGTTTTTGGTTGTAGTAAGTCTTTCTGGCATGGTCTCCTGCCTGTAAAAAAAAAAAAAGAAAAACATATTTGTAATCGCATGCTGAGGACACATTCCACCTAAAGCTAGATCCCCATCTAGTGCCTGTAAAGTGTGTGCGAGTGCATCTAGGGGCTGCATTGTGAGTGTGTATGTATTGGAGTTGCATTGCGTGCTTATCAAGGAGCTATAGTTATTATATATATATATATATATATATATATATATATATATAGATATGTGTGAGATATATGAGATTTGGTGTGTAATGGGGTGGAGCATGTATGTATGTATGTGTGTGTGGGGGGGTTAAGCTATGTGGGGAAGAAGTGTGTATGTGGTTGAAGAGATGATGTGTGTGAGGGGTGCACTGTGTGTGTATGCAAAGGTGTACTCTGTGTTGGTGGGAGTGTACTGTATGCGGGGGTTCACTGTCTGTGAGGGTGTACTGTGTTCAAGGGGTGTAGCGAGTGGGATAGGGAAGAGCTTTACAATTTTTACTTTAATAATTGTTTACAAAAAAATAAAAAAGAATATTCCCTTTTCCCTCATCTTACCTTGCAGGGAGGGGGTGGCACAATCAGATCCGTGGTGGTTGAGAAGGCTGCCTATCCATCAGGTACAGGGGAGGTCATGAGATGAGAGGTATCTCTCTTGGAGCTCAAGCACTTCCTGCTTCCCCACACAGACTGACTCATACATGCACAGATTAATCCTCCTCATACACAGACTGACCCATGGACACACACACACACACACACACACAGACTGACCCATGCGCTCACACACACACACACACAGACTGACCCATACACACACACACAGACTGACCCACCCCACAAAGAATGACCCATACACACAAACTGACCACCACACACACAGGCTGAACCCTCCCCACCCCCCACACACACAGACTGAAACCCCCCACATCATCCCATCTGCCTATTCCTCTACAGCTTTCCTTTGAGGCAGGTATTTTCCCTTCTTCCTATTACTCTGGAGCTCTGCATAGTGCTTGCTATTGCCTTTACAAAGGCACTTGTAGCTCTCAGGCGTAGCTTTGTTGGCTTATCCCAGAGCTAGAGTGGTTCTAGTTGGTAGCAATCCTCAGCAGTACAGGAGAGCAGACAAAACATTTAACAGTATACACACACATTATAAACACCCTGCACCTATAATGGGCACAGGGTGACTGAGACATTTAGAAAGCATTGTAAAGTGTCCTTCTGCTCCCAGTGATCGTGACTACCTCAAGGGATTTAGAGGACATATCGAGCATATATAGGATGTTATTCGGATCAACTTGAGATCCTATGGTCAGAAGTAGTGATTAATCTAGTTATATCCACTTGAGTATGAATTATGGATGATAGATTATGGGGGAACATGGTCTATTAAATACATGTCGATCCCTATCAGATAAAATGTTTAGTAGAGACACCTCTATTTTAAATTCCTCCATAAAGGATAATTCCAATAAAGACTGAATTATTGTAAACAGGATTCCATTCTCATTTCATGTTGTTTGGTATACTAAATGAATTGGAAACATTTATACACTCTTTTTTTTGGTTTGGATGTATATAATATTATTTACTCCTTATTAGGAAGCACACACACTTTTTTAATAAGAAAAGTTTGTCTGTATAATCATGGAGTATCCAGTTGATCCTCTATTGGGGATTTTTTGTGATCTCTTAAACTACTCAGGGTTAGGTCCTTTCCTATATAGGATTTCTCTTCTGTAGGCGATCTTTCCTCTCCTTTTTTTTTCCGTTTTAGCTTAAGGGCCTGACACTCGAAGCTTAAAGGGTCACTCCGACCCCTAAACAACTTTAGCGTGCTGAAAAGATCCATGTGTGACAAGTGTGTCCTCTTTTTTTATTTTACAAAAAATGCAAATTGACACTTTTATAAATAAACCTGGTTACACCCCCTTGGCTTTCAACGCTACTTCCTGGTTTTGTTAGCTTAATGCAGCTGACATCAAGAGGCAGCAATTGCCCAGAGCACCTGACTTACAAAGACTTCTCATTGAGCTGTATTGGGAAATCTGTGATTGGACATCCACAGAAAGTCTTGGTGGGGTTAGAAGGGGAGGGTTTGCAAATGCAGCAGACAAGAGATCTACAGGTTTTGCAAGCTGATTTTAAATATAACCCAATGAAAAATGCACAATTAAATGCATGTTAGGTTTCATTTGGGGTATATCTACTAAACAGTGATTTTTATTTATTTTGTATTTGGTGCCCAGTCCAAGGTTTCCTCATTGAAGCCAAGGACTTCATGGAAAAAGAGGGGCAGAGCAAAAAGGCAGCATCTACACAACTATAAGGTTAAGTCATTTGTTAAGGTAAGACAGCGCCTAAGACTGGTTGTGCATGCATAACCAGTAATATATATTGTGTAATATTTTTGTTTTTATTGTACTTTTCACATCCTGTTCTATGTTTCCTGTTTCATAAATTTAGACGGATGTAGTCGGATCTTTTGTTAAATATCGGGAATTCATTTTTATTTTAGAATGCAAGTCTTTCAGCTGGGCAATAAAAAAAAGAAGGAAATCCCAAAAGTAGTCTCTGAAAAGATTTCATTGTTGTACAACTACTAGCAAACTGCAATAGAAAAATCCTTTAAATATACACAGTATCTCACAAAAATGAGTACACCCCTCACATTTTTGTAAACATTTTATTATATCTTTTCATGTGACAACACTGAAGAAATGACACTCTGCTACAATGCAAAATAGTAAGTGTACAGCATGTATAACAGTGTAAATTTACTGTCCCCTCAAAACACTCAACACACAGCCATTAATGTCTAAACCGTTGGCAACAAAAGTGAGTACACCCCTAAGTGGAAATGTCCAAATTGGACCCAATTTGGCCATTTTCCCTCCCCGGTGTCATATGACTCGTTAGTGTTACAAGGTCTCAGGTATGGATGGGGAGCAGATGTGTTAAATTTGGTGTTATCACTCTCACACATACAAAGCAGCCCTGGAAAAAAAAAATTGTGCCAGCCCAATAAGTCACTGCGCCATATATTGTCGCGTGTAATATGTAAGGCTATGTCTTGCCATGACAGATGATTGAGTAATATATATATATATTCATTGAAGAAAGGTGCACTAACAGGGCTTCATCCATAAGTAGTTTTATTCTTAGATGTGCATTACATGTGTAATCAAATCCTCAATCAACGTTTCGACCCCTAAAGGGTCTTTTTCAAGATCAATTGATCTTGAAAAAGACCCTTTAGGGGTCGAAACGTTGATTGAGGATTTGATTACACATGTAATGCACATCTAAGAATAAAACTACTTATGGATGAAGCCCTGTGAGTGCACCTTTCTTCAATGAATATTTATACACTTACGCTGAGGTCTGCACCCAGGCAAAGATATAAAGGAAAACTTCAGTTAATGGGTGAGTGCCAAGAGCATCTTTGTATATATATATATATATATATATATATATATACATATATATATATATATATATATATATTGCTTTTTCTCATATAAAATATTGGTCCTTTCAGGGTAAAATGTTTAATTATACAGTAAGCATACTCACACGCAGACACAGGCAATTTCAATGACATCTCAATGACACACACAAGCTCATTGATACACAGCCTCATAGACAAACAATCTCACTGATATATATCAGCTCATTGACATAAAAACACAAGCTCACTCACTAGCAAGCACACGCATGCAAGCAAGCTCACTCACTAGCAGACGCACACACACAGCTTAATGTAGTGGTACTGTTGTCCCTACAGGCTTTTCAACGTAAACACTGACTTTTCAGAGAAAATGCAGTGTATACACTGCTTCAAAGTGACACTGCTAGTGACAGTCACTCAGACGGTCACTAGAGGTGCTTCCTGTGTTAGTGCACCTACATTCAGGGCCTCCACACTCTGTAGGTGCTGAACGTTCCCCATAGAGATACATTGATTCAATGCATCTCTATGAGGAGATGCTGATTGGAGTGGCGTTTTGCAGCCAATCCTATGGCAAAGCATTGGATTGGCTGAGATCATCAAGCTTGATGATCTCAGCCATAGAGGCAGGGCCAGTCGAAGGGGAGACCAGCACGCTGCGTGGGGAAAAAAAAGGTGAGCAAAAACACTATTTTTAAACACACATATACACCATGACAGACACAGAAACACACATATACCATGACAGATACACACCCCATGACAGATACACACCCCATGACAGACACACACACCATGACGGACCATGACACAGACAGACCCACACACACACACCATGACACAGACAGACACACACACACCTCATCATGACGGACAGACACACACACACACACACCCCATGACGGACAGACACACACACCATGACGAACAGACACACACACCATGACACAGACAGAGACACACAAACACCATGACACAGACATACACACACACACACCATACAGACAGACACCATGACACAGGCAGACAGACACACACCATATCTATCAAATCTACCCTAGGCACGATATACTACAAAACAGAGGTAACTCCAATTGCGCTGCTTAGTGTACTAAAACAATCACCTCCAACTCACCTTTAAACATTACGGTGGACTCTCACTTTCATCGAGGACACATTACCTGTCCCACAGTATATTTCAATAATGCACCAAAAATGTATGCATGTTCAGGTATTTGGAGCTGTTCCTTTGCACCTCACCCTGTCACTGGTGCCTCATTCCAGGACCCTATTTAATCTTGCACTGCAGGAGAATGGTCTTTCCAAGTAAAATGAATTAATCTGTTAAAAGCAGACATTCGGTTACTATGATAGGGCCTGACAAAACTGGGGTTCATTGGCGCTGTGGTAGGCTTTTGCATTGCATCATATACTGTAACTAAATCCCCATTATTTGCCAGGTGTTTTTTTTTTTTTTAAACGCTGTTTAGTAGTGAGTGGGTGTGTGTGTGTGTGTATATATATATATATATATATATATATGTGTGTAATTTTATTTATGGTGTGCCAAAGTATTCCACAGTGTTCTATCATTATGAAAAAGTAACAAATGGTAGAATAGTTTGCATTTAAAGTCACATTCTTCATAGAAAGTCCTTATTTGGATATATAGCAAGATATCAAATTTATATCCAGACTGTATATAAAAGCATAAAATGATTTTTTTCCCCTTTTTTCTATATCTAGATCTTGACACTACAGGAGCATTGTTATTTTCTATTATAACATTAATGACAATATTCGCATTCCTGGTGTTCTTAGAAGAAGCATACTATATGTATAAGAAAATACCTGGCTCAAAAAAATCTATAATGATTTGGATAAATGCAGGAGCACCAGTAAGTAACCAAACAACCCCATTTAACAATATTTGGGCATGGGTGGAAAAGCAGGGCATTTTAAAGACAAAAAAGAACCATGCTAAATTGGCATAGTTCTTTTAGATTTCTGTTGATTAGAAAGTTTAAAAAGCATGCCAACAAGAAGTTTACAAGTCAAGATTGTATTAAACTCTGTTGTAATTGTAGTTGACTTTCAACTTGACAACCATGATGTAGAGTAGAGTAACAAAATTTTAGACAAAGAAAAATAAAATTGCTGAACACAAATATTTGTGTTTCAAAACAGTAAAACGTATCCCAACAATGATATCGTCAGTGAAAGTGCTGTTTGTGTGTGAAAAATGCAAAAAAAGGCACTTTCACTTACAAGATCATCGTCGTGATACTGTTTGAAACACTAATATTTGTATTCGGCAAAGTCTCCCGAGTATAACAGTACCTCCCCCCATGTACAGGTTTTACGGTATCTTGGAATGTTACAGTGCTCGCGAAATATAGGGCTTGCGAAGTAAATTCTCTGGACTTTCTGCCTGGGTTGTCAGGCAGGCTCCTCAAATAGTAATTAATAAAATGATTTATTTATGTAAAAATATTACATTAATATATACATAGAATTTAAATATATATGTATATATACATATATATGTGTGTGTATATATATATATATATATATAATTTGTATTATTTTTATTTATATATAGCTATATATACATACATATTTATAACTTTATTCTAAATGTATTTATATATATATATATATATATATATATATAGTAATACATACATAGTACAAAATTACACATGTACATAGTTTTTAAAAAAAAGCTGAAATGAGAATGTGACAATTCTCATTTCAGTTCACTACAATTTGGTGTTTAGTGAATAACCCTGATTGAATGATACACCAGTATGATTTTTAATGTCGCATAGGTGCTTAATTTCCTCTGTGAAAATTGATGTCAATTTACTTTCTTACACTTGCTTAAAAACACTCTTAATTCACATTTAAAACCCACAATGTAAACTTTACTGAATAATCTTAGAATGTTATTTTTATTTTGTTTCAATTTTTTAAAATGTTTTTCACATTTTTATTAAAGAAATGCAAGGTACACATGTCACAAAGTACGTCACAAAAGTAATTCACATATTTTACTAAGCCAAAGGTATTCAATGGTCTATGTTACAATCAGGTGGTAATTGTATCATATTAGTAATAATAAGAAGTAGGTAGACACATTTAGATTTTGATAAGAAAATAACAACACAAATTATTCTTAGTCTAGGTCAGTGGTAGCCAACCTTTTTCTACCTACTGCCTACTAATGCATCTTTCTTGATGGAAAAATGTCCTTACCGCCCACCAGTTTTCGCGCAAGGGTGGAATATTTTTTAGAAAGGAGGGTGTTTTAAAAATAATAAATGTACATACGTTTATCTTTCTATTTCTACTTAATGCATGTTTATAATGTTTTTAACTTTATAAAGTTTAATGAGAAAACAATAAAGTAAATTGAAATTACCTTTACTAGTGATTAATGAGATCCTTGAGGTTGATGCTGCAAGACTAAATATTTTATATCTGGTTCGATTTTTGTAAGGAACAAACAAAGGTCTCCTCTTTTGGTGATATTCAGACAACTTCTCTGTTTGCGCATAATATGATTTCTCATCTGTGCGTCAGCTCCCCTCCTCTCCCTCCTCAATTCCCCTCCCCACCTTTCCCCCTTTTTTTTACATTTTTTAACCTTCCTTATAGCAATTCACAGTAGGAAGGCTGAGCTAGGTATCCCACTTACTATTACTTACTATAGCCCACTATAACAGACAGGTACACATACATACATACATACATACAGACATACATACACACATACAGACAGACAGGAACACACATACATACAGACATACACACACAAGACACATACATACAAACAGACACACACAGACATGCATACAGACACACATAAGACATACATACAAAGGCACATACACACAGACAGACACAAGACACACATACATACGACACACATACATACAAAGACACATACACACAACACATACATACAAAGACAAGACACACATACACACAAAGACACATACAAAGACACACACATACATACAAAGACACACACATACATACATACAAAGACACACACATACAAAGACACATACAAAGACAGACAGACACATACAAAGACAGACAGACACAGACACACACACATACAGACACACACATACAGACAGACACACACACACACACACACACAAGAGATACATACAAAGACGCATACACAAACAAACACACACAAAATATTTTAGTCACCCTCCTGTTTCCTACCGTTAAGGTGCAGGAGGGTGACTTTCCCTGGGGTCCAGTGGTAGCTCAGGTGGATGGGAGTCAGAGTTCCCACTCTGACTCCCTGGTCTTCCTCCCGCGCGGCTCTCAGTGTTAGCTGGGAGGAGTGACATGCAGTCACTTCCTCCCAGCTCGGTGATGTAATCACAGGGGGCCGGGTCACGCTATTAAAGCGCCCAGCGCTGACCGGGCCCCCTTACAATCCACATCCATTGGGTGGCCCTGACAGACTGGGCCACCCGATGGAACCCTCCATATGCAGCACCGGGGGTTTGCTGCGCGGGCCGGAAATTGTGATGGCGGTACCCGGTCGCAGGGGTACCGCCGGCTCGCACCCGCCCGCCCGGTCTCTCAAAATTAGAAAATCCCTACCGCCCACCTGGAATCCTGAAACTCCCACTAGTGGGCGGTAGGGACCAGGTCGTATTCCCAAAGGGCCAAGTAAAATTGTAGATTATGCTAACTTTAGTGTACCGATAATCTTAATTTTATTAATGACAGGAGGCGAGTATTTGCTTAAGTCTTTCTTTACTTAAGCTTCACAGCAGCACTTTTTTTACTTAGTAACAGGGTAACCAATCAGAAAAAGAGATAACAAGGTATAAGAGTCCCTCCCTGTGATGTCACTTCCTCTTTCTGGCTGCGAACAAATAGGAACAGGGACTGTAACTGAACCAGATGAAGAATTCAGGATGCCAGATGAGAAAGCAAATGTTAGAGAGGGAACAGGAACGTAAACATGTCTTCTTAGAGAGCCGAGGTGATGCTTGAGATGGAACGGCAACTGAACTTGTCTTCATGAGGGGCTTTATGCTGAAACGAGAAAGCAGAATCGAAACCAAGGATTAATCCGAGAATTGGATTTATAAAATATGACATTCGGTATTTAGAAAATCTCGTCTAAAAGCCCACCTCCTACGAAGTGTAACCTATCCACCCTTAGAGAGAAACCCTTAGCCCTCCCCACAGTAGAGGTACCTAGAGTATGTATTTAGTCTAGATGAACTTACTTAGATAGGTGACCTTAGGGAGGGGAAAAAAGAACGAGAGTGAAGGGTGGGAAATACTCGCCTCCTGTCATTAATAAAATTAAGATTATCGGTACACTAAAGTTAGCATAATCTACAATTTTATAACATGACAGGAGGCTTCGTATTTGCTGTTTTAACGCTCCCCAAGAAGGGCTAAGGAAGCGTGCACAGCCGGACGAAAATAGAAGTTGCGGAAAGTCTGTTCCCGGGACCAGTCTGCTGAGTGGAGAATGTCCCGAAGTGAGGCTCCAGCGCTGAAAGCTCCCGATGCCGCCGCTCCCCTGATAGAGTGGGCTCCGAAGGAGGCCTCAATCCCAGCGAGGGAGAGCAACCACCTAACCCATCGGGCAAGGGTTATGGTTGACACCGGATTATGTGGACGGACGTAGGAGATCAATAGTTGGCTGGAGGAGGTTGAACGAAGGGAGGAGGTGAGTAGTAAATAACGAGAGAGAAGTGATACCACACACAATTTTGGATGGTTAGGGAAATAAGGGTAAAATACCGAAGAAGAGTTTGATTTTGTCCGTCTGGACACGGAAAAGGTGACACCTTCGGGGGAAAAATTGATAGCGTCATGGTCAAAAGCTCGAACATCCGACACTCGTCGGAAGGATACTAAGCAGAGTAGCAGGGTGAATTTAGCCGAGAGTTGACGGAGGGTTAGATCTTCGTTGTTCGGCCAGGTTTCCAGGAAACGAATCATGACGTTAACATCCCATAGATGGGAGTATTTTGGTGTTGGGGGGGCGAGCCAGTTTGATGCCCCTCAATAGTCTGCAAACCAGCGGGTCCTGGCCCGCTGGAATCCCATGTAGAGGGACATGGGCTGCCGAGATTGCTGACCGGGCCACGTTGATGGACCGGTAAGTACGGCCTAAGTCGAACAGGTGTGAGAGGAAATTCAGTATGGACTGTCTAGGGGCTGTAAGGGGATCGGTATTCCGTTCCATGCACCAATTGCACCAAGTACTCCAGGAAGAAAGGTAGCATCTTCTGGTTCCAGGAGCCCAGGAATCCCAGAGAAGTTCTTTAGATCTCTGCGATAATTCTCCGAAATTCCAGGATCCCCTGAAAGAGTCCAAGCCACTAATTGGAGATGACCTTGCATTATCATCGGATGAGGGTTTCCTTGAGGGTCCTCTAACAGGTTGGGCCATAGAGGTAGAAGGAGGGGATGTTGGCAGGAGAGGTCCAGGAGATCTGGGAACCATGCTTGGCCCTGCCAGAGCGGGGTGAGTAGTACCAGTGTGACCTGTTGTCTGCGAATCTGAAGAAGGGTTCTTGGGATCATCGCGAACGGAGGGAAGGCGTAGGCTCCCGTCGTCGGCCATTTCTGAAGAAAGGCATCTACTGCCAAACATTCCGGGTCTGGTAGCCAGCTGAAGAAGCGTGGGACTTGAAAATTCGTCCGGGAGGCGAACAGGTCCAGAGTAAACGGGCCCCTGAGTTTGGAGACGTGGAGGAAGACTGACCTGTGTAAGCGCCAGTCGCTGCCGTCTCTCCAATGTCGGGAGAACCAATCCGCAGTGGTGTTCGTCTCCCCCGGAAGGTATTCTGCCCGGAGTGTTATGTTGCGCTGGAAGCAAAAATTGTAGATGTCCTTTGTCACCTCGGACAGGGTGTGAGATCTGGCCCCGCCCAATTTGTTGATGTATTGAACGGCCGAGATATTGTCCATTCGGAGGAGAATACAGCAGTCTGAGAGATGATTGGCCAGACTGCGGATTGCAAACGATCCTGCGATTAATTCCAGACAGTTGATGTGGAGAGAGTGTTCTGCGTCGGTCCATGGTCCCCCGGTGGAAGTTGTATGACAAGTTGCACCCCAGCCTTGGAGGCTCGCGTCTGATTCCACCACAAAGTCCGGAGTGGGACCAAAAATTGCTTTGCCGTTCCAGGCAGACATGTGGCGAAGCCACCAGTAGAGTTCCTCCCTCACCTCGGTAGTGATCGGGACCCTTTGGTCGTATGATGGATGGGTCTGGAGGAATTGAGCCTTCAAGCGTTGCATGGCCCGATAATGGAGGGGACCTGGGTAGATTGCTTGAATGGAGGCAGAAAGCAGGCCTATAATCCGAGCCAAACCTCGGAGAGGTAGATCCACTTGGCGAAGCGTCTTGCGCAGTTCCTTCCTGATCGCGGTTAACTTGGACTGAGGCAGGCGGAGAACACAGGTGGAGGAGTCGATCTCGAAGCCGAGAAACTGTATGATTTGGGATGGAGTCAGCGAGGATTTTTCCTTGTTGATGACGAATCCCAAGGATTCTATCAATGAGGATGTGTAGTTCGTCTGTGACTGCAGCGTGGAGATGTTGTCGCAGAGTAGTAAGAGGTCGTCGAGGTAGATTAGGCAGCGAAAACCCCTTGCTCGAAGATGTGCGGTGACTGGCTTGAGCAGTTTGGTGAAGCACCAGGGAGCGGAACTCAGGCCGAATGGAAGGCAGGTGAATTGGAAGATCCGGTGGTGCCAGGGGAAGCGGAGGAAACGTCGACTGGATGGATGTACTGGCACGGAGAGGTAAGCATCCTTGAGGTCGAGTCGGGTGAACCAATCGCCTGGACGGAGAATGTCTCTGAGGAGATGTATCCCTTCCATTTTGAAATGCCGGTATATCACGAAGGTATTCAATTGGCGAAGGTTGATTACCGGGCGAAATTCTCCCGATTTCTTTTTGACCAGGAATATGGAACTTAGAAAGCCTTCGTCGTGTGGAGCGGGTTGAATTGCTCCTTTTGTTAGCAAGGAACGTAGTTCTGAATCGAGGAGGAGCCATTGAGATTTTGACATTATCGGGTAATGGGGAGGACCTGTTTGAGTAGGGAGAGAATAAAATTCTATGAAATAACCCTGAACCGTGTTTAGAACCCATGTATCTGAAGACAGCGTCTTCCACATATCCACACAATGTAACAACCTGCCCGCATGAGAAACCGTAGAGAGGTGAAAAGTAGGAAATCTCACCTGTTGGGTATCTGTAGCGTCCACGGGCTCTACCTCCTCTTCCCCTATCTGACCTTTGGGTGTAGAAACCTCTATTTTGATAGTTGGGGAAGAATGGTGAAGTGGGGGTTCGTTGGCGTTGGCTTGTGGGCCAGAAGCGGCTGACTGCACGACCCCTTGGACGGCCAGCCCTGCCAAAAACCCGAGAGGGTTGTTGGTGGAATACTCTTCTCATGGATGATTGCGCCTTGTTCAGGGTGGCGTATAAATTTACATGCTTGTGTAATTCTTTAATATAGGGTTCTCCAAATAATAGACCCTTGGCCTTGGGGCCCAACTCTTTGGTCCCTAGGTCGGCTAGTTTGGCATCCATACGCAGCAGCACTGCTTTTCTACGCTCGGTAGAGAGGGAAGTATTTGCATTGCCCAGCAGGCAAATGGAGCGTAGTGCCCATTCTCTGATCACAGATGGGTCTAAAGGGCCCTCGTTAGTGAGGGCTTCATCAGCCAGTAGAAGAATTCTTGCCAAGGGCCCTAGGACATCCAACATCTTGTCCTGGGTGATGCGTAGGCTGCGCTCAATGCCCTTTTTAGGGTCACGGCCAGATCTGGCTAAATATGTGTAGAGCAGGGAATAAAACTCCGGGGTCATAGCGACCTTGTCTGGTAAGGTGGGTCTAGGGCATTCAGCTCTTAGGCGTTTGCGGACCTCCCGGTCTAGGGGTCTCCTTATCCAGAAATGGATATATTGTGAAAGGTGATTTGGGAGTGACCATTCTGAAGATCGAGGGTATCTGATCTGTCGTGGGTCAAATAGTGGTTCACCAAGCGTATCCAGAAAGGTTTCGGGTACTGAAACCTCAGTAGTGGGGTCTCCCGTGATATCTTGAGGGAAAGGTGCTTCTCTGAAAGATGTCTCAGGCCAGACTTCTTCATCTTCTGAAGAGTGGCCAGCTTGCCATTCATCTAGAATGGCCAATGGGTGTGAGTCGAAAGAGTCGTCTTCCTCCTCCGACAAGGTAGGCTGTATGGAATGTTTTTCCCTGGCGTCCGCTTGTTTTGGGCGTTTAGCCGGTTCTTTCCCTTTGCGTTTGAGTGATTCTGGCCCATCCCCTTTCCAATATCGTTTATTGAGTTTGGAAGGGTTCCTTCTTGTAGAATCGGAATCATCCGCCTCTTCATCAGAGTGCGGGGGCTCAGAAATTTTGGTATCTTTGGGCTCAATGGGCAGCACCCGAGCCAGGGTCTTTTCTAGTGAAGCGGCAACAGCCGCGTTTATAATCGCTTGCAGATTTTGATCTTGGTTTGAAGCCTCCATAGCAACAGTGTTGGTACCTATGGGGCAGAATAGGCCAGCATTAGAAAGTATTTTAGGGCCGTCTAGTATATCAAAAGATATTTAATTTCAACAGTGCAAGCTGTAATGGGGGTCACCCAGATACAATAACCTCAGAGTGCTTATTTAAACTCGTGTAGAGGTATGGTGGCACAGACAAAGCGGGCCAGTCATGGGCTGTATGGTATAACAGCAATCATAAAATATATAGGGACTTACCCTTAGAAAAATCACAATATGACTGTGATAAATATTTAGCTGGCTGGTATTGGGGGTTGCTCCCAATATAACAGTATTGAGTAGTTTAATATACATGCATAATAATATTGGTAATGTAGTACCTTTAATTCACCACCAGGGGGAGTAGTGTAAGCGAAAATTCTCCTGAACTGAATTACAGAGAGAAGTATCTCTTGTGAAAAACAAATTCTGCTCTGAGGGAAATATTGTCTGAGAAATATAAGTGAGAGAACTTATATATGTGAAACTTGTAAGATATTTGTACTGCCGATTAACAATTAAAATGGCCGCCGTGCGGCTAGAATGGTCGCCGATCGCGGCTCCAACAAAATGGCCGCCGCGATCTCGCGCATGCGCAAAAGGTGCAAACGGCCGTTCGGATCTCGCGGCAATGCGCGAGATCCAAGATGGCCGCCGTGCGCGCTCAGGGCCGATGGAGGCGTACTCCACAGCCCAAAAGCCCGGGAAAAACGGGGCAGAATATGCCGACCGCAACCCGGACCAATAAAAGTAAGAGACACAATGAAAAGGTATAGAAAAATGAAACAGAACGTAAGGGACAGTACAAAAGGACTAAAGGGAGAAAATTAGGCAGTAATAAGTTAAGAGAGAAAACTTTAGAAGATAGCTAAGGTGGGACAAGCACCTTAGAAATAGGAATATAAGAATATAGCTAAAGTATGGGAAACATAGCTAAGAAAAAACAAAGATTAAATAACAAGTTAAAATAAAGAGGAGAGTAAATAACCCACAGAAAGTAAGAGGCAGTGGCACTCTGACCTGTACTGGTGTGAAGCAGCAAAGAAAGAGGAAGTGACATCACAGGGAGGGACTCTTATACCTTGTTATCTCTTTTTCTGATTGGTTACCCTGTTACTAAGTAAAAAAGTGCTGCTGTGAAGCTTAAGTAAAGAAAGACTTAAGCAAATACGAAGCCTCCTGTCATGTTATAAAATTACATTACATAGCAGTAAACTCCTTTTAAAATAATTTTTTAAAGATAATTGGGGGATAGACACTGGACTGAGGACTGAAGGGCAGTGTAAAAACTACAGATACACAGTAAATTGTGTAACAAACAAGTGTGATATAGAAGGCGCTTAGAATTGAAAAATCTATGAAAAGCAGCTATAAACACTCAGCGGACACTCCAAAAAATCCACTAACTTAAACAAAATACAAAGAAACTACAACCCAATATTTTTGGTGATATAGCTCACCAACTAAACATTAAAATGTAAGTGCAGCACTTAAAAGTGTAAATAAAAACTTTCCCTTAAAATATTATGGGGGTTAAAACCATACATATAAGAAAAAAGAAAAAGAAAACACACAATAGTGTATTATTGTATAACTGTAAAAACAAATAGTGAAGTAAGTGATGGAATACCTACATTTATAGATGCTTTTGTGGGTATAGGGTTTAAACACAAGAGCTTCAGGGCCTTTTAAGGCGACAACCAATAGCTTCTTTAAGAGGATCTTCGGTATACCTCTCCACAGATTCATATATAAAAGTGAAAAGAGCAAAAAGGATCAAATCCAGGTGTACTAGGTTTGGTATTAATATATAAAGCAAAATTAGGATAAACTGAAATGAAGTGGATAAAATAAATTAAGACTAATTTTTAAACCAATTTCTGAATTCTCGCAATTCTATATCAGGATTTTTATATTTACATAAAATAAATTCATACATTATACAGTGAGGGAAAAAACGTATTTGATCCCCTGCTGATTTTGAACGTTTGTCCACTGACAAAGAAATGATCAATCTATAATTTTAATGGTAAGTGTATTTTAACAGAGAGATACAGAATTTTAAAAAAATCCAGAAAAACGCATGTCAAAAAAGTTATAAATTGATTTGCATGTCAATGAGTGAAATAAGCATTTGATCCCTTATCAATTAGCAAGATTTCTGGCTCCCATGTGTCTTTTATACAGGTAACGATCTGAGATTAGGAACACTCTCTTAAAAGCAGTGCTCCTAATCTCCTAGCACCTGTCCACAAAAGCAATCAATCAGATTCCAAACTCTCCACCATGGCGAAGACCAAAGAGCTGTCCAAGGATGTCAGAGACAAGATTGTAGACCGACAAAAGACTGGAATGGGCTATAAATCCATCGCCAAGCAGCTTGGTGAGAAGGTGACAACAGTTGGTGCGATTATTTGCAAATGGAAGAAACACAAACTAACTGTCAGTCTCCCTCGTTCTGGTGCTCCATGCAAGATCTCACCTCTTGGAGTTTCAATGATCATGTGTATGGTGAAGAATCAGCCCAGAACTACATGGGAGAATGTTGTTAATGATCTCAAGGCAGCTGAAACCATAGTAACCAAGAAAACAATTGGTAACACACTACTCCATGAAGGACTGAAGTCCTGCAGCGCCAGCAAGGTCCACCTGCTCCAGAAAGCACATGTACAGGCCCGTCTGAAGTTTGCCAATGAACATCTGAATGATTCAGAGGAGAACTGGGTGAAAGTTTTGTGGTCAGATAAGACCAAAATCAAGCTCTTTGGCATCAACTCATCTGGCTGTGTTTAGAGGAGGAGGAATGCTGCCTATGACCCCAAGAACACCATCCCCACTGTCAAACATGGAGGTGGAAATATTATGCTTTGTTTTTCTGCTAAGGGGACAGGACAGCTGCACCGCATCAAAGGGTTGTTGGACGGGGCCATGAACCGTCAATCTTGGGTGAGAACCTCCTTCCTTCAGCCACGGCATTGAAAATGGGTCTCACTGTGAGGTCTCTCACTGTTAAATGCACCTACCATTAAAATTATAGACTGATCATTTCTTTGTCAGGAGGCAAACGTTCAAAATCAGCAGGGGATCAAATACTTTTTTTCCTCATTATTTATTTTTTACTTGTCTGATATGGTTTAATGTGTAATAAAGTACAGTATGTTAAATCAAATCCAGTATTTTTATTGTAATACACTTCCATGCTTGATATATATGTTTAATATATTTTTCTTCTTTTAGTTTTATGTAAATACTCTTAACCGAGTACATGCTTTACATATAAACGAATAAGGACGTTTATATGGGACTTAATTCTACATATATTGCTTTAAGAATCCAAGGCAACACATTATACATCAGAGAATTCAAGTGACACGCCACAATACACGCTAAGTGCATTGTGGGTTCTGTAGTCACACACCAAAAAATGGAAGTGACGGGATGGGACACTTACTTTACGTGTCACTTACTTTACAAAAATCTTAGTTAAGAAATGGATCCGCACACCCCATGCCCCCCCCTCACCCCCCCACCACCACCACATTAGCACCTGTAAGGAAAGTGTTTCAATTTGAAAACTGAATCAGGAGGCAGGGAATTCTCGGATTCACAAACAGGAACCATGAAGACATCTACACACCACTTGAAAAAGCCCTTACCGGTCAAACACATCTTTCAAGAAGGAAGAACCTTTGCCTTTTCTGTTAAAAGTATTTTAGTTTTAATTTGGTTTTATTTCAAATCTATTCTTTTTAATACTAACCTCTCCTCATATTCTCATCCATATCCTGTTTCCAGAAGGTAGTGTCTCCCTACAAATTGGCACAAGGTCTGAAAACGTTGAGCCAGTTACAAATAGGCTCCTAAAAAGGTGAGCACACACCTGTATATACCAGAGTAGTTGTGCTGCTTTATATATTGATACTAAACATACTACACTTAGATTTGTACCTTTTTTGTTATTTTTACTTTTATATATAAATCGGTGGAGAGGTATACTGAAGATCCTCTTAACCCCTTAAGGACCAAACTTCTGGAATAAAAGGGAATCATGACATGTCACACATGTCATGTGTCCTTAAAGGGTTAAAGAAGGTATTGGTTGCTACACAGAAGCTCTTGTGTTTAGAGTCTATACCCACAAAAAGCTCTAATAAATGTGAATTTTCTGTCATCAACTTTACTATCTATATTTCACAGTTATAAAATAAACTTTTGTGTGTTTTCCTTTTATTTTTTCATATTCGTATGGTTTCAATCCACACAATATTTGAGGTGTGTGGCAAATGTGCCTATGCCACAAGCTCCTGAAGGAGCCTGCTGGCTAGCCTCCTGCCCAAGGACAATGGGCCATGTAACCGATGCCTTAAAATACTTGTTTCATGTGTTTTCCCTTTTTAGGTCGGGAACCGAACAAACTTACGAATTGCGGACCACCTCTGGGCTTGTAAACAATATTAAACTCTCCTGACACCTCCAACATCGTTTCACACTTTGTATCATAAGTGTTCAGCTGGGTGGCCGCTGTTTGTATGCATGAACACATAGGAACTGAGTTGGCGGTCATCTTGGCGCACGAATGCAGGCACCGGTGTTCGGACATCGAGTGTATGGAACTGAAATCGGACAGACAAACTTGCGAACACTGCTGAACATATATGAATGCCTGCTTCTTTTCTACACATGTCAGGAGAGTGCTGTTCGGTAGGATTGTTCGCATGAACTAGGCAAACAATCGCTACCTAGGAGCCAGAGGATCAGTTTGGTGTTTCATTCGGTTTTGAACTCCCAAAAATGACCCACCGCTACCACTTTTCTTATGGAACTATTTTGGGCAAAAAACATTTGTGGGATCTGATCGCTTTTTGGATATGTTGGTGGCTCAGATCCAGGCTGTCCGGGTATATAGGACTTGTGGAAGTCCCTTGTAATATTGTGTGTGTTTTGGTGTGTTCAATATTTTGAACATTGTACCTCTGTGCCTGGGAGATAATTAGTTTAAGCAAAGTACACTTAATTATCTACCAGACACAGAGACTCCGGGGAGGAGTCTGTATTGAATCGTATGGAAACCCCCTGTTGGGGGTCTGTGTATAAATTGCCTGTACCATGCCCCATTAACTTTAGTTCCCTCCCAGCATTAAGTCTCGGCTAATGTCTGTGTGGGAAGGCTATACTCACTCCAGAGCTCTAATCACTTGGCAGCTATAATCACTACACAGCTGTACTCGCTGCAGGAGAGCTTTGATCACTGGAAGCTCAATACAGTGAAGCAACGGCGAGACCCCATTCAAGGTGTGGCGGCTAGGGGCTGAGGTGCTGATGGTGTCCAGGCGATAGCTAGGGAGCTTATTTGGCGGTCACCACAAGGGGTAAGTTTATATTTATACTTTTTAGCGATGGACTTATATCCGTTCCAGTCTCTGTTAAAATCCAAACCAGACACATCTCATTATACTTAAAGAGGTACTGATTAGGTGATCACCTGAATCGAATCTGATTTAATTAGGAAAAGTATACAATCCACTGCAGTGGTCATCACTATCCTTTTTTTAAGTGGACCAGCTGGATGGCAAAAAGACAGTGCTAGTAGTACCTCAAAAGTAATTTAAATTTTAAAAAAACTATTGGCCATGCCATGTTCAAAAATAAGGTTTTGAGTGAGAAAAAGAAAAATTCAATTCTGGCTTTGCTAGCAGAGGAATACAGTGAGTGTCAGGATGCTTCTATCCTCAACATTTCAAAGATGATGGTTCATTAGAACAAGATCAAGTAACAGACATTTGGGTTAACAAAGGTACAGATTGGAAGAGGGCGAAAATGACTCTCTACCGACTGTGGTGATTGCCAACTCATTCGAATGTCACTCAACACCTGTAGGATGACATTAAGGGACCTAAAAAAAACAGCAAATGGCAGCTGGGGTGAAGTGCACAGTGTGTCCATTCATCAATGAGAAGCAAAGAAGAGCCAGGCTGAGGTTTGCAAATGACCATAAGGATTGGACCATAGAGGATTGGAGTAAGGTCATCTTCTCTGATGAGTCCAATTTTCAGCTTTGCCCAACACCTGGTCATCTAATAGATAAAAGGGAGACTTGGAGAGGTCTGAGAAGCCAAAGTGTCTTACACACACACACACAATGAAATTTAGTGGTGGATCGGTGATGATATGGGGGTTCTTCAGCAAGGCTGGAATTGGGAAAGTTCAACTTTGTGAAAGATGCACAAGTCAAGTTGAATACCAGGTTTTCTTGGAAAAAAAACTTGCTTTGTTCTCTTCTGACAATTTTCCCCAACTTTGAGGATTGTTTTTTTTCAGCAGGACAATGCTCTATGCCACACAGCCAGGCAAATCAAAGTGTGGATGGAGGACGACTCGATCATAACCTTGTTATGGCCAGCCTAATCTCCAGACCTGAACCTCATTGAAAACCTCTGGAATGTTTTCAAAAGGAAGGTGGATAATTGCAAGCCATGAAACAAAGAGAGGCAATTTTTTTTAAATAAGGAGAGGCATAAAGTCACCAAAAAGCAATGTGAAAGACTGGTGGAGAGCATAACATAACCATGAAAGCTGGAATTGAAAGTCAGGATTATTCAGCTAAACATTGATTTCTGAACTCTTTTTAAGTTAAAACATTAGTATTTTGAGGTTTAAACATGTATATACATTAATTGAATACTTAAAGCGCTGCATCTTTTTAATTTTGACCAGTTTTCATTTTCTGCAAATAAATGCTCAAAAACTGAATATTTGATTTAGGAGTATAGTTGTCACTAGTTCATTTTACTCAAACACATACCTATAAATGAAATTGTTTATTTTGCAGAGGCCTTTTAATTGTTTCCAGATATTTATATAAGTCTTTTGAATTTATATTATTTTATTCGTTAAACTGATTTCTGCTGAGCTGACAAAAATTTATTTCAATACAGTTTCTGAGAAAAAATAAATAAAAATAAAAAGTATATATATATATACAAATATATATATATATATTTTAATATATATATATATATATATATATAAATAATTTATATATCAGAAATTAACCATCATTGACTATTTTATAAAAAATGTTTTGTTAGCCTTGTTCTATCTAACTATGCCAATCTGATAAGTTACAGGTCATAACGCAGGTTCTTCAGTTATTTAACATCTTATAATTTATTTTATAGATTATCGCAATAACAGCATGCGTCGGAATGTGGATACCTCGCAGCACTATGTTCACTGACTTCACTGCATCTGTGTATGTATATCTTCCTTAAGCAATATAATCATCCATTATCTGAAAAACCAGTGATAAAATCTAGAATATAATTCCAGAAACATATTTGAAACTATCCAAAAAGTGTGAAGAGCTTCATTAGTTATTATGGGTTACCTGCTGATCAACAAAATTCATTTAGGTCAGCAATAACTGTTCTGATTCATGATTGGAGTCAGAGTAGTTCTTTCACTTGCAGCTGGACATAATCTGATTACTACTTTTGTGACCAAAAATATACATCCCCTCGCAGCAACTATGGACAGTGGCTTGGATCAACTATATATTCTTTTGATTTGTCTGAGTTTATTGAAACAAAAGCTCTAACTCACAGCTGTATGAAGGTTTTTTAGTGATATTATCTTCCAAATCCAACCAACCTAACTCTGTCCACATCTTATATGGGTCTTATCTGAGCCAATTGTGTTCATGGTTAGTGTTAGGATATTGTCAGGGTTAATAGTTGGTGTTAGCATGGTGTAAAGGTTATTATTTAGTTAAGTGTAGCGGGTTAATGTTTAGATATATTGTAGGAAATAATATTTAGTTATAGTTAGTGTAGGGATCAGTGCGTAGTGTGTTAGAGTAGTGTAGGGTTAAGAAGAGGACTTTATTGTAAGAGCAGCCTACATGTCTCAGTGCTGCTTGATATTACTGGAAGTCACGGTCGAAACCGACAACTATTTCTGCTGTTGTAAACTCAGTATTGTGATAACAGCTAATCTCAGACAGACCATGACACGCATGTCTCAGACTGCACAGGAATATTACCTATTCATTATGAGATAACATTGCCTTGTTTGCAGGATTGTAAACATGCTTTGCCTATTAACAGAACAGATACATACATACATACATACATACATACGCCACAGGAATTCCTTGCTCACAAGCTGAAAATCCCCTGTATTGCCGGGTGCCAAAACCAAGGCTTTAATAGATAAAAATAGATAAAAAATTACTGCATTTTTTCCTGAAGAAAGTCCCTGGGAGAACTGAAACGTTGAATTTTAATTGCATAAATAAAGATAGGATTTTTTAAAAGACCGAGAGTGCAGCCTCACCATTTACCATTTTATATATTTATATATATACATACACTGAACAAAATTGTAAACGCAACACTTGTTTTTGCCACCATTTTTCATGAGCTGAACTCAAAGATCTAAGACTTTTTCAATGTATACAAAAGGCCTATTTCTCTCAAATATTGTTCACAAAATATAAATGCATTGTTTTCTCGCTCTTAGAAGCTTCTTAGAGCTTTAGCACTGGATAGTATACTATGTTGCCTCACAATATTGAGAAATAATATTGCAACATTGTGTCCACCATGAGAGTTGGTTATATTAAGTATCTGTATTTCGTACCGCTTTCATATTCCTTAACTTACCACTTGGGGTAGACTTTTTTTTCCTTGGATATTGGGCGGTGTTCACCTTTTTGATTTGGGCAGGTAAATTGCTTTTCACTGAGATTGGCCTTACTTCCTTTGATAAGGGGGTGGGCATGCTAAGGTACACAGGTGTCAAGTATTATGAGGTGCCTATTTAAGTATTTTGTATTTCATCATACTTCCCCTTTATAAAGCTCTGTGTGTCAGAGGTGGACTGATTTTGAGTAAAGAAGTTTATGCTATTTTGCATTGAAGAAAAAAATCTCTCTATCTCAAAATTTTTTTTAAATCTTTTTTTCCAATGGATCCTGGATCCTTGCACTCTGGCCAAACAATTTAGTATAGTGCCGGGTGCTATAAGCCAAGGCCAATAAGTATAAAAATGCCAAGGAGGTAGCTTGCACTCACAGTCTTTCCAGAGATTAAAATGCAATACTTTATTGATGTTGATGAAAGTCCTGGACGGGGACTGAAATGTTGATCTACATTTTAATTGTTCTTCAATAAAGTATCGCATTTTAATCTTTGGAAAGTGCGTGAGTGCAAGCTACCTCTTTGACATATATATATATATAGATATTGAAAGAGAGAGAGAGATATAATCCTGTTGTACATCACCTACATATCTCAAGTTGCACTTCTTGAAGTCCCCTTTGGGCACATAAACTCAAAAAATCATGTTTACACAAATATCCCAGAGTTCCCAACTTGACATGCAAATGAGCACAGGCAGGCATTGTGTTTAAATTTTCCCTCTGCATTTCTGCAGGTACCCTTATCATATATATATATATACATATATATATATATACATATACTATACTCATAAACTCTTTTTTCCACTATACAGATTCCTTGCCGTGTTCATACACAAGTTTCAGCAGATGTTGGTGAGTGAATGTGGTGGTAGACGAGAATTTCTTAAGATGTTTTCAGAGAAAAAACTGGAGCTGAGCACAGGTCCATGCTGCTGCTGCTGTGTCTGTCTGCCCCGTAAAGACATTAACAGGTGAGTCAAAAATACAAAACAAAGAGGATCTAGATGTTCCTTAAATTGATGTGTTAGAAGTAGTCATAAATCTACACTGAGTGATTGCCATAGCAGTTGGCCCGCCTGGCCGGTTTTATCACTCTCTGCTAAGTCAGCCTGGGTGGTCCAGTCACCCAGTCAGACCCAGACTCCAGTAAAGTCGCTGGCCTACACTGGCACCCCCAGTGAGCTGGCGCCGTAGTCCACTGCCTAAGTGGCCTATATGGTAGCCACGGCCATGTCCTCTGGTTTATCATTAAACACACATCACTGGTCAATAGTGACCAAAAACAATTAAGGAACCATTTGCACAGAGAACATTTGTGTATACTTTCTGTCATGCATTTTCCATCATTGCCATGTTTTTTTGCATCACTATTCATGATCCATTAATTTGACCACAGCTAATAGCTGAAGGAGTTTGCGTTTTGGCTTTACAATATTTTTGCCCATTTTTTACTACTGTGGAAAGCCCATGGAGCTGCCATGCTTTCTGCAAAAAAGTGAAAGCTATACTGAAGAGGACAGGGTTGCATTTTTATTTTAAAAAAAATTTAGTATGGGGACTGACTCAAAATAAATACCATTTATAATTCAAAAGCACATTCTTAACATTTATTTTCATTAAAAAAGAAAATAATGTAAAATTAAAATCAAACTAATATCATGACAAATGTACTGAACAATCCTGCATATTTAGGAAGATCAAGGGCTTAAGGTGGACAACTATTAACAAATAATTTATGGTATGGTCCTTTGTGACTGTATTTTGTCTCCTACAGCTCTGTACAGCACTTTGTTAGTTGAAATAAGCATTAAAGAGAATATGCCTATTTTGTGAAAACATGAGAGGGCTAGCTACTATTCATCTTTTCTACAAACAAATAGTTTACCACACTATATTCCCTTTCTTAATTTAACATTAAATGATTGATATTAACACGGCAGAGACTAGAGTACACAATGAAACAATACTATTACCTAATATACAGTTGCAAGAAAAAGTATGTGAACCCTTTGGAATCACAGTCTGCTTAAACTAATAACACACAAAGAATGAAATGTTGCCATGTTTTTATTGAACACACCATGTAAACATTCACAGTGCAGGTGGAAAAAGTATGTGAACCCCTAGACTAATGACATCTCCAAGAGCTAATTGGAGTGAGATGTCAGCCAACTGGAGTCCAATCAATGAGATGAGATTGGAGGTGTTGGTTACAGCTGCCCTGCCCTATAAAAAACACACACCAGTTCTGGGTTTGCTTTTCACAAGAAGCATTGCCTGATGTGAATGATGCCTCGCACAAAAGAGCTCTCAGAAGACCTACGATTAAGAATTGTTGACTTGCATAAAGCTGGAAAGGGTTATAAAAGTATCTCCAAAAGCCTTGCTGTTCATCAGTCCACGGTAAGACAAATTGTCTATAAATGGAGAAAGTTCAGCACTGCTGCTACTCTCCCTAGGAGTGGTCGTCCTGTAAAGATGACTGCAAGAGCACAGCGCAGACTGCTCAATGAGGTGAAGAAGAATCCTAGAGTGTCAGCTAAAGACTTACAAAAGTCACTGGCAAATGCTAACATCCCTGTTAGCGAATCTACAATATGTAAAACACTAAACAAGAATGGATTTCATGGGAGGATACCACAGTGGAAGCCACTGCTGTCCAAACAAAACATTGCTGCACGTTTACAGTTTGCACAAGAGCACCTAGATGTTCCACAGCAGTACTGGCAAAATATTCTGTGGACATATGAAACCAAAGTTGAGTTGTTTGAAAGAAACACACAACACTATGTGTGGCAAAAAAGACACAGCACACTAACATCAAAACCTCATCCCAACTGTGAAGTATGGTGGTGGGGGCATCATGGTTTGGGGCTGCTTTGCTGAATTCCCAAGTTTATCAAGACATTTTGCAGGAGAACTTAAGGCCATCTGTCTACCAGCTAAAGCTCGACAGAAGATGGGTGTTGCAACAGGACAATGACCCAAAGCATAGAAGTAAATCAACAACAGAATGGCTTAAACAGAAGAAAATACACCTTCTGAAGTGGCCCAGTCACTCCTGACCTCAACCCAATTGAGATGGTGTGGCATGACCTCAAGAAAGCGATTCACACCAGACATCCCAAGAATATTGCTGAACTGAAACAGTTCTGTAAAGAGGAATGGTGAAGAATTACTCCTGACCGTTGTGCACGTCTGATCTGCAACTACAGGACACGTTTGGTTAAAGTTATTGCTGCCAAAGGAGGTTCAACCAATTATTAAATCCAAGGGTTCACATACTTTTTCCACCTGCACTGTGAATGTTTACATGGTGTGTTCAATAAAAACATGGCAACATTTCATTATTTGTGTGTTATTAGTTTAAGCAGACTGTGATTGTCTATTGTTGTGACTTAGATGATGACCAGATCACATTTTATGACCAATTTGTGCAGAAATCCATATCATTCCAAAGGGTTCACATACTTTTTTCTTGCAACTGTATTTTAGAATCATACTTTGAGGCAGCAGTCCACAATCATCACTATGCTAGTGGCCCAGGGTGCAATTGAATGTCTGTCCGCCTTGGTAGTCCTCTCATGTGCAATCTCTGGCTTATTACTTAAAGGGACTCTCCAGTGCCAGGAAAACTTATCCATTATCCTGGCACTGCAGAACCCTGCAGTGCCCATCTCCCTCCCATCACATGTTGCTGTAGGGGTTAAAACCCCTTCAGTGACTTACCTGAATCCACCCACACTCCGACGTCAGCCATTCAATGCTTTCCTATGGGGATTCCAGCATAGCATAAGGACGTCCAACATAGTTTTAAACACTTTTCGTGTTCTAAGAACACGGAAGTCCCTCTAGTGGCTGTCTGATAGACAGCCACTAGAGGAGGACTTAACCTTGCAAGTAACACTTGCAGGGTTAAGGGTTGAGTTTTTATAATCTGCAATAATTACCTTGCAGGGTTAAGAGTGGTGGGAGTTTGCACCCAGACCACTCCAATGGGCAGAAGTGGTCTGGGTGCCTGGAGTGTCCCTTTAATGAAACATGCTAACTTTTTAAAATTAGATTTGCTCATTTTTAATTTTAACAGAGAGAAGAAGGCTACACCACTACAGGAATTGCCTAAATAAAACAATGAAATAGAAAATAAAATGAATGAAACATTTTATTTAGACATCTCTTAATAATAAATAAATTGTAACAGGATGAAGAATACACACACATATTAATGTGAAAGTACACAGAACTTGAGAATGGATAGTACTAGTGAGAATTGTAATACCCTAAACAGCAGATAGGTTCAGGGGGTGTAGATATTGACACTATAGCAAACTACCCCCAGAGGTCTATCTGAATAAACAAAATATCCTACGTTCATATTAGAACTAGCAAGTTATATTTACAGTGTGTAAACAGAGATTGAATATTATTAAGAGTATTAATAGGAGCCAGAGTCAGGAACATATATATCAGTGAACACCTGATATAGGATTTTGTTTTCCTATTTTTGTTTAAAATAAGCAAACAAACATGTAAATGGCATTGACGTTTTTAACAGTAATATGCTTCTCACAGAATAGCACTGCAGACACACGTCATGATAAGCACTGAGTCCAATATGGTATTGGCAGTGGATCTGGGAAGACAAAATCACACTGTACATGTATAATTACTGTACTTGTATGTCACAATGTATTAGTTCATTATTAGATTGACTTAAATACAAAATAAATGAGTTTTGCAGTATATTGTAATATCTTTTTGTGTTGAACTAAAGGGATTTTGGAACAACAAGCTATTGGGAGTTAATCCCATAATAATGATTTTATTAAGTCACAATTGTCTAACTAGTAAGCACTTACACAGTTATTTTTTTTATTTTGCAGCCGAACATTATTTATTCTAAAACTTGGGACCTTTCAATTTGCATTCCTACGGCCTGTGCTTATGTTTCTCTCAGTAGTGCTTTGGACCAATGGAACCTTTATTTTAGGAAGTGTGAGTATATTATATAATGACTGTAATGATCAGAAGTGACTGCCAAATGTGCCACCATTACTTTTTTCCTTTGTGCCGTACTGAATGACAGAGATGAATTAATGTTCCTGGTCTGTAAATCTGGGAATGATTCTTAGTAATGAGTGTAACAAAGGAGACATTGGACTCTGGATATATTTGCTGGGCTACATGTGACCCATTTGCATATGAATCTCTATGACCACTATTTTTGAACCACTTGTTGTATGATATAGTAGTAGTATTATTATTACCCTTAGTATTATTTTTATCAGGTATGCACTGTTTTAGTATTAGAGGGATGTGGTTTTGTGGTCTGTAAGTTAATATTTAGGGTATACTGAAAACTAGAACATTAACTTATTCTTTATGCAGTTAAATAAGAAGCACACAGTTATGCTACACTAAAAAAAAGAAAATAAACAAAAACAAAATAGCCAAATCCTATAAGAGTATTATTTTGCTAATGTTTTAGATAATTACTCAATGTTAATTAGAGAATAGCTTATCTTCAACATTTGATAAAGGTGCAATAACATTTGGTTTACCTGGGACTAATTAATGATTTACTTCACTGCCCGTGGGTTTTCGAGGTTCTGAACAAATAAAAAGGTTCCCATTTAGGAGATGATTACATTGTTCTATAGCCATACCATTTTTCTACCAGCAATGTGCTGCGGTGATAGGTCTCTGATGAGGTCTCAGCCAATAGCCGCTGTCCATTGCCAGTCAAGCGAATGGTTCCTCATTACTTCGAGCAGCTACTTGTCTGTGTCATGAGAGTGGCAGACTATAAACAGTATGGATTAGGAAGAGCGACAAGCTAGAGAGTCAATGATATTTAGCTCTTAATTTAGTCATCTAGATGGCAACCAATCAGCTTAATGTCTACCCACTGGAACACAACATAGCAGGAATATCTTTAACTATTTTGCTTAGCCATTATTTAGTTTTAGCCTTTGGGTTTTTACTCAACACAAAGTAGCTGAAGAAAAACAACAAGACACGGTGACATCTGGGAGGCCACGGCCTCACTCACTATCTGTGTAAATCACAAGGAGCAAGCTTATAAAACACTACTCCGATGATATTTTACACCCCTTAAACTAAAACAGATGGGCCGCACGGACTCAGACGCATGCTGGAAGGGCTGCGGAAATAAAGGTACATATATTCACCTGTGAGTGCCCCCGCATCTCCCAACTATGGGCTGAAGTCTCCGACCTCACCTCCAGAATCTTACATACAGACATACCCACAGATCCGTGGACCTGGCTACTATTCAAACCCTATGCCCCCCTTACCAGAGAAAAAAACAAACTGGTGGCAAGAATAGCACTGGCCACCAGGAGAATGATTGCGGAACAATGGGGCAACCAATTCAGACCTCTACTAATGACCATGCTCTGTAACGCAACAGAAACCATGGAGATGGATAAAATATCAGCCCTACTACATGACACATAACTTCCACAAAATCTGGGACCCATGGATCCTGGGTCAACAGCCCGTCACTTGAGAGGGGTGCCGGAGGCGACTGAACGCCAACCGTGAAACACCCTGTTGCTGACCCCCCCGATACTACCTCCTTCCCTGCCCCCCGTTATGCCCCACCCTCATGGCAATTGTATGGGTTGTAGCGTGTTGGGTGTGGGTGTGGTGTTGTGTATTATTGTTCTTGCACCTCCAATTAGGGGTCATTATTTAGTCAATGTTTCTCTGGGAGGTTGTGTGCTCATTGGGTAAGGTTTCTGTCTTAAGGTGGGATTGGTAGGTGTGTGATTTAGGTGGGGGGGTTGGTGTTTGGCCCTTCTACACCTTTAGATGAGATGAGTCGTATGCCAAAGATCCCATGGGGATACTACCCACCACAACAAAATCAACTAGAGATTGAAACAAAGAAATTGTTGTCTGAATACCACCACTGGTAACGAAATTGTAGAAAAATTCTATCTGACTATAAAAAGACTTGTACCCCCTCCCTATTTTTCATTCTGTACCCCATAATTACCACTGATAAAATTTGAAAATAAAGAATTTACAAGAAAAAAAAAAACAACCAGACACATCGAGTCGGAACCAAGACAGATTTTTGAATAGTGGAGTTTTGGTTTACAATAAATCTACCTCTGCTGTGACTCAATGTGCTTGGTTGTTTATTTTCAGCTTCTAGTGTGATTTGAAGTGGTGCCTCTCCGCAATGTTGAGCACTTGGTCGGTATGGTTATTACTGTGGTTTATTATTCCTTCTTGTTCTTTCATTTTACCCAAAAATATAGTCACAGAAGGCAATTTTAGTATGGCCAACATAATGACATTAGGAAGCTAAATTTGTTTTATATCATTTTGAGACTTGCATTTCAAAATTATTTCATATGTAAAGGCCCATTTTATTAATGTTCTAGAATCATCAATGAACATTTCCTCTACAAATTCCAATCTTCTGTTTTCTTTCAGTCATCAATTGATGGAGCTACAATGTATATTAACATCATTCTTGCTATCATCACAATCACAGCACTTTGGGCTGTTGGAATCATGTTTAATCTGGTCAGACCTTCCTTAGCGGACAGGAACATTATTCCTAAATTTGCAGTATACCAGGTAAGAAACTACACTGTGTGTTTACATGTATAGCCATTATACAATCTATAAACAAATGCAATTATGCAAAGAATCATCTCAATTCACTCAGCCCAAAATTTTATCAGGCACCAATTAGCTTTTCCAGCCAATGACTTCAATAGCTGGAAATGTTTTCTTAATGTAAACGCCCTAATAAACCTAATACCTAATAAAATAATCTATTAAATTGTGAAATTGTTTTAAAATATAGACCTCAATTTAAATATTTTTGAATAAGCTTTTCAAATGATTTAAAATGATTTAATATTTTGAAAAATATTTGAATATTGTAATATTATTGATACATTGACACATTTTGTATTACATATGTTATATTGTTTTTATATTTTATTATTTGGAAAGAAATAATTTTCAAGGCTTATCCAAAAATATTAAATACAGATCTTAATTCTGGATAATACTACACCTCAATTTCAAAATACAGAAAACTATTATGGAAGCTCTGTTTTGCTTGTTTTACATGCTTTTGAATTTTTTCTTTAGACAGACAAAAATCTTCCTGTAGGAGGCCAGGGTGCTATTTTCAAATGTTTCACTTAGAAGTTTTTTATTATGAGCCCCAAACGAACAGCACAGCTCTAGAGAGCAGGGATGTGCATTGAATATGTGTAACTAGAAATTCCTGGACACTAGTGCAAATGGTCTAAAGACACATGCTAAATGCAAATATTGCATTTAGGGTACATTTTACTTCTGAATAAAGGCATTTATCAAAGTACCATGCTGCATTTATTCAACATAAAGGCATTTTCTATTTGGAGGTGATTTCTAAATGTGTGTCCATCCCCAGTATTCCACCCTTGTATTGTAATGAAAAAAAACCCACAAAGAATACAATTAGCCCTTAATTTAAAAAAAATTATCCTTTAGCACTGTGTACTACATCTATCATCACCCATCACCCACTTACAAGCTGCCGGTAATGGGAGCTGCAGACCGGGAAGTAGTCTGAGCAGGAGGGCATGATACTTAAGGAGTTAAATTTAAATCATTAATGGATAGCCTTTATCACTTCAGCTGGGAAGCATGGTAAATATAGTCCACAACAAATCGGGTATCATAGGCTAGCCCTCACAGATTTACATTATCTTTCAGACGCATTTCAAAGTTTCTTTGCTTTGGGTATTTTTGCACTGATGTACTTAAAACAATATTTAGAAAATAATATGTGAGTGCATTAAACTGACATAACCTATGTCAAACCTTTTCTTTTATTTACAGTTTATTGTCATTCTAAGTCAGCTGCAAACCTCTATCATCAATATTCTTGGAACAATGGGTGTTATCTCATGTGTCCCACCCCTACCAGGACCATCAAGGGCCTCATGTAAGTACAAATACAAAATGGAAGCCAGTGCAACACTACCCAGTAAGACCTGGTGCTAACATGCAGTGGTATAGTAAAGTGGAATTTTATTTTGCGTTGTGACTTGATTACTTTTCTTTTTCCAATTAATATAACAATACTGCAGGAATTCAGGAACATACTTAAAATAAAAGGTTTGGTGATTTAAATTAGTCATTGTGTGCAGTTTCTGCTTGAAACGCTGCAATTTCAGAGATATTTGCAATTTTGAGCCGTGGCAGCGTGAGTTCTGGAATGCTAAATGTCAATTTTTTGCACATATTACGTCTGTTGCCAGCTGACAATAGAGGTAACAATATTTGCCCTTGAATAGGGGCATGTATCGTGACAGTAACTAACAAAGTAATACACACATGTTAAACACATTAAAATCCTTCTTATCTATGAATCCAAGATAGGGTTTGTACTCCACAACAATATATATTTATATATCTATATTGCTCTACCAGAAGACAAGTAGACAATCCATAATAACCCCATTCAAACAAAGACTTGGTACATGGGTTGTCACTTGTCACTGCAGCTTTAATAAGGGTTATAAAAAAACATATTACTTTAAAGCTGTATTAGCTCAAATTTGTGTGCACTTTAAAAACACTTGGCGGAATTCCAATTTTCATATTTGTAAAATTCTAGCTACAGAGTGTTTTAATATAAAATAGTAGTGAATCCCTCTCTGTCTATATTTTTTTGCACCAGCTTTTCTTTTATTCATATTCCTAATTTGTTTCCTTTTTCTGAATTTCTAGTAGCAGCCAGTGTCTCTTTTTTGGGTAATTAGCATGAACATGTCTCATTAGTGGTGAGCGGTGATCAGATAACCCTACATGACAGCCCACAGAGCCTTAGATTCTTTATCCAAATGTGTAATTTGCTTTTTTGAAAATTTACAATAATTTTTATGTTTTCTGTTCATAATTTTACAGATTGCAGGAAGTAATTGTAGTTTTAAGATTTATACACTTAAAAGTAATTAACTATAGCTACAGCCTCATTACAAGATTAGCCAAGTCTATAAGTTGTCTAAAATGTAGTTCTGGTTGTAATGAATGTTTAATAATTGGCTTAATCATTCTCATGACTAGAAGTGAAGCAATTACTTATTATTATTATTGTTATTATTATTTCTCTAATTCAATTAAGTTTCAATGAGATGTGTGCTAATTATTAATCACACTGTTTATCTTTGGCCCTAATATTTGTTTTGATTCTTTAATAAATGCAGATTACATTTAGGCCACTTCCACTAATAGAATTTCAAAGTTTGTCGTAGAGAGAAACAGGAGTTAGGACTATAAAATAATAATTATACATTGATCAGCCACATCATTAAAACCACCTGTCTAATATCATGTAGCTCACCCTTGTGCTGCAAAAACAGTTCTGATGCCTAGAAGCATGAACTCCACAAGACCTCTGGACATGTCCTGTGGTATATGGCACACGCCATTAGCAGCAGATCCTTTAAAGGACCACTATAGTGTTAATAGGTCCCCCCCCAAACCCTCAGGGTCCCACTTCCGCTGGGCTGTAGGGGGAGGAAGGGGTTAAACTGTTACCTTTCTCCAGCGCCAGGGTCCCTCGGTGCTGGGGACTCTTCTTCTTTTTCCGACGTCATCAGCTGAATGCGCATGCACAGCAAGAGCCGCGTGCGCATTCAGTCAGTCCATAGGAAAGCATTTCTCAATGCTTTCCTATGGACGCTGGCGTCAATGAGACAGCCACTAGAGGCTGGATTAACCCAAACGTAAACATAGCAGTTTCTCTGAAACTGCTATGTTTACAGCAGGCAGGGTTAACCCTAGATGGACCTGGCACCCAGAACACTTCATTAAGCTGAAGTGGTCTGGGTGCCTTTAGTGGTCCTTAAGTCCTGTAAGTTGTGAGGTGGGGCCTGCATGAATTGAATTTCTTGTTTCATCACATTAAACAGACATATGCTCAATTGGGTTGAAATCCTGGGAACTTGGAGGCAGAGGCAAAGCCTTGAACCTTTTTTCATGTTCCTCAAACCATTTTTGAACATTTTTTGCTGTGTGGCAGGGTGCATTATTCTGTAGAAATAGCACACTGCCACCAGGGAACACCATTGCAAGGAAGGGATGTACATGATCTCTAGGTAGGTGGTACATGTCAAAGTAACATCCACATGAATGTCAGGACCCAAGGTTTCCCACCAAAACAATGCCCAGAGCAGGCTTTCCTTAACTCTGGCCCTCCATATGTTGCTGAACTACAACTCCCATGATTCTATGAATGAAATAGATAGGCTGAGAATCATTGGAGTTGTTGTTCAGCAACATCTGGAGGACAAGAGTTTGGAGAAGCTCCGACCCAACCATCTAGAAAGATGACACATACAGCATATGCATACTTAAGAGAATACCTAACAATTCTGAATTTAAATCTAGTGATCTATTATTTTATCAGTACGTAGACAACGTTCCATATGGAACTCCATTCTTATAAAATCTAAGAACAGTTTCAATAAAGTTCAGAATTTTTAAATTAAGATCTATAAAAGCTCTTCTACAAATTAGCTTTCAGAGTTATATATTATATATACGTTTCACACATTAGCAGGTATAAAATAGGTTGAAGGTTTGGATGTGATCTTAAAAGTGGTCTTTTCTGTCTGAACTTAATACAATAATACATTATTATATTAGATTCAGATTTTTGCTGGGCTTAATTTCTAAACAGTGAGTTGTGGTGAGCTGATGACCACCTTTGCAAAATTTAAACCAAAAGCTGTAGGTGTTTCTCCAGTTTAATATTATTTGGTTGCTAAGTTTTGCAATTCCATTAACAATTCATCCCAACACACTATTTAATAATAATCATTCAAAGTTTCTTATGGCCTATCTTTCACCTCTCTGTTCTATGGTGCAGTAAAATATTGGTTGTTTGAACTTTGTGCAAAATAACATTACAATGTCTTGCAATTAACAACACACTTATTTTATATTTGTTGTAATGTGTTTAACAACAGACATGAATCAGCAGCTACTCATAATGGAAATGTTTCTTACTACACTCCTCTGCCGTATGTTATACCGCCGAAAATATGATACGTTAACTAACCAGGAAGAGAACGATAATCTACAAAACAACACTGTGGATTTGAACAGCAAAGCTTTGGAAGAGAAGCTACATTACGAAGATAAGATACAATATGCCTAAAGACAATTTAACATTGTAGGACTTTTTCTGAAAATGTACCAACTGGAAATAGATGGATCTACATATGCATTTATTTGATTGTATTTTTTACTTTATCTGACTAACATATACAGTATATATAAATATAGTATCCATGTAAATAAAGTTAATTTAGTCTTGTACTTTGGGATATATCTCTGTACCCAGTAAGTTTAATAAATTGTAAGTTAAAATTCACCTCTCGATATCAATTATTGTTTGCTGATATACTCACTGGTGGCTATGTCAGCTACATCACAAGAGAGAATTATTTTAAAATAATGCAAGTGTACACTCATCAGAATATGGTAAATTTGTGAAAGACTTTATATTAAAAACATATTTTAAAGCAGAAAATGATGGCCATATAACAGCGGGACCTTATTTAATTATTTGAACAACTCTGGGTAATCACTGAACTGAAGATGTTACCCCATCTTCTATTATGCTGTTATGCAACCTCTGTGCAGCACAAAGTGCTATCAGTAGCATTATATTCATGGTCCATGATTGCAATATATGTAATATATGTATATTTAGTTTGGGAAACAATTTTCACAATTTTGGACAATAAAATAACATTTTGGACATAAATAAAATGTTATTTGTAATAGTTTGTCAAGAATCCTTTGCAGACAATGACTGCTTGAAGTCTGGAATGCATGGACATCACCTACCGCTGGGTTTCCTCATTTGTAAAGCTTTCCCAGGCCTTCACTGAAGCTGTCTTCAGTTGTTGTTTGTTCGTGGGTCTTTCTGCCTTAATTTTTATCTTCAGCAAGTGAAATGCATGCTCGATTGGGTTGAGATCATTTGATTGATTTGTCCATTGCAGAATATCCTACTTTTTTGCCTTAGAAAACTCTTAGAATACTTTCACAGTATAATGTGGGTCATTGTCCATCCATGAAGTGAAGCACCATCCAATCAACTTTGCTGAATTTAGCTAAAACTGAGAAGCTATATCCTTATACACTGGATTTCATCCAGTTGCTTCTGTCTTCTCTAACATGATCAATAAAACACTAGTGACCCAGTGTCATGGGAAGCCATGCATACTCATGACATCCCACTACCTCCACCGTGTTTTGCAAATGATGTTGTATGCTTCAGATCATAAGCCGTTCCAAGCCTTCTCCATACTTTTTCTTCCCATCATTTTGGTACAGGTTGACCTAAGTTTCATCTGTCCAAAGAATGCTGTTCCAGAACTGGACTGGCTTTATTAGATGGTTTTGGCAAAGTCTAATTTGGCTTTTCTATTCTTGAGGCTTATGAATGTTTTTCACCTTGTGGTGAACACTCTGTTTGCTTTCATGAAGTCTTCTCTTTATAGTATACTTGGATAATGATATCACTACCTCCTGGAGAGTGTTTTTCACTTGGCTAGATGTTGTGAAGGGTTTTTTCTTTAATATGGTAAGAATCCTGTGTTCTGGATGTCTAGGACTTTTTGTCTTCCAGAGCTCACATGTACATTCTTTCTTTGAATCGTGTGCTTACTACATTTAACAAGCTGGTTTTCAACTTAGAACAATTTCAACATATTGCCTTCTGAATAAAACTTTAAAAAGGCATATATAACTGTGTAGCATACAACATTAGAAAAGTCTTGGTTTTTCATTTTAGATGTGATTATTTCCACTGGGTTAGCCCCAGTCTCTGGTGATCTAATAGGGTCCAGCTGCATTTTTCTTTATTGAATATCATTTCTCGTGCACAGCAGTAAGCCTTGTGAGATCAGGCAAGAGCTGCAGCAAGCAGCATGAGCTTCAATACCTCCTATTATCACAGGGCAAGGGAGGAAAAGGTGGGAAGCCATTATATAACCCAGTGGCTACTGCATTATATATACATATATGATTTTACTAGGCATTTTGTAGAAATCTTCAGAACTCCCTAACCAGCCTACAGCCGTGACAACTATAACCCAATGACCAGTCTAGGCCTCTCCATAAGTATTCACCCCTTGTTATGAAACCACTAAATACAGTCTTGCTCAACTAGTTGCCTTCCAACTTAGAATTCACTGTCCTTAGTGAAACATGGTAGAATCATATTTTGCTGCAGTAATAGCAGTGCGTTTTGTGAGTTAAACGGCTGTCAGCTTTGCATATATGGATCCTTTTTAATCACACAGTTGTGTCAAGGTGGTTTAAGAGTGTTGGCAAACAATGATTTCAATTCTTTCCACATATTTTCTAATAGAATGATCTTTGACTTGATCATTACGTTTATTGGTTTTAAACCACTCTAGTGCAGCTTTGATTGTGTTTGCAGTGCTATTAGATGGCAATGTTTACTTTTCAGGTTTAACCTGCCTCTAGTGGCTGCCATACATAAAGCTGTCATACATAAAGCTCCACAATTTCTATCAAATGGTCTGGAAGAGACCATCTAATTGACGCACGGCATCAGTTTGCCTTGTATGCGCACTAGGCTCCCAATGCTTTCCTATCAGAAAGATATTAGATTGGCTGAGACCATACAGATATTAATATTGATGAGGAAGAACAGCTGCTAGAGCAAACTGGGAAAGCTGCACATTTGGGTAACACATTAATTAATGGAGATTTTAATTACACGGACATACAGGGAGTGCAGAATTATTAGGCAAGTTGTATTTTTGAGGATTAATTTTATTATTGAACAACAACCATGTTCTCAATGAACCCAAAAAACTAATTAATATCAAAGCTGAATATTTTTGGAAGTAGTTTTTAGTTTGTTTTTAGTTTTGCTATGTTAGGGGGATATCTGTGTGTGCAGGTGACTATTACTGTGCATAATTATTAGGCAACTTAACAAAAAACAAATATATACCCATTTCAATTATTTATTATTACCAGTGAAACCAATATAACATCTCAACATTCACAAATATACATTTCTGACATTCAAAAACAAAACAAAAACAAATCAGTGACCAATATAGCCACCTTTCTTTGCAAGGACACTCAAAAGCCTGCCATCCATGGATTCTGTCAGTGTTTTGATCTGTTCACCATCAACATTGCGTGCAGCAGCAACCACAGCCTCCCAGACACTGTTCAGAGAGGTGTACTGTTTTCCCTCCTTGTAAATCTCACATTTGATGATGGACCACAGGTTCTCAATGGGGTTCAGATCAGGTGAACAAGGAGGCCATGTCATTAGATTTTCTTCTTTTATACCCTTTCTTGCCAGCCACGCTGTGGAGTACTTGGACGCGTGTGATGGAGCATTGTCCTGCATGAAAATCATGTTTTTCTTGAAGGATGCAGACTTCTTCCTGTACCACTGCTTGAAGAAGGTGTCTTCCAGGAACTGGCAGTAGGACTGGGAGTTGAGCTTGACTCCATCCTCAACCCGAAAAGGCCCCACAAGCTCATCTTTGATGATACCAGCCCAAACCAGTACTCCACCTCCACCTTGCTGGCGTCTGAGTCGGACTGGAGCTCTCTGCCCTTTACCAATCCAGCCACGGGCCCATCCATCTGGCCCATCAAGACTCACTCTCATTTCATCAGTCCATAAAACCTTAGAAAAATCAGTCTTGAGATATTTCTTGGCCCAGTCTTGACGTTTCAGCTTGTGTGTCTTGTTCAGTGGTGGTCGTCTTTCAGCCTTTCTTACCTTGGCCATGTCTCTGAGTATTGCACACCTTGTGCTTTTGGGCACTCCAGTGATGTTGCAGCTCTGAAATATGGCCAAACTGGTGGCAAGTGGCATCGTGGCAGCTGCACGCTTGACTTTTCTCAGTTCATGGGCAGTTATTTTGCGCCTTGGTTTTTCCACACGCTTCTTGCGACCCTGTTGACTATTTTGAATGAAACGCTTGATTGTTCGATGATCACGCTTCAGAAGCTTTGCAATTTTAAGAGTGCTGCATCCCTCTGCAAGATATCTCACTATTTTTGACTTTTCTGAGCCTGTCAAGTCCTTCTTTTGACCCATTTTGCCAAAGGAAAGGAAGTTGCCTAATAATTATGCACACCTGATATAGGGTGTTGATGTCATTAGACCACACCCCTTCTCATTACAGAGATGCACATCACCTAATATGCTTAATTGGTAGTAGGCTTTCGAGCCTATACAGCTTGGAGTAAGACAACATGCATAAAGAGGATGATGTGGTCAAAATACTCATTTGCCTAATAATTCTGCACTCCCTGTACATTTGGATAGAGGGACTAGTAGTTCAGCAAGGGGAATCAGGTTTTTGAACTAGTTAAATGACACGTTTATGTCACACCTGGTACAAGCACCAACTAGAAAGGATGCTTGTCTGGTTCTGGTTAAAGCAAACAATGTTGATCTTTTGACCAACATTCTAGTAGAGAAACAATTGGGAAATAGTGATCACAATATGGTGTCTTTTAAAATAAATTTATAAAAGCAAAAGAACATGGAGTATACTGAAACATATAATTTTAAAAAGGACAGTTTCAATAAGATAAATGCAACCCTACAACATATTGACTGACAAACTCTTTAGGGGACAAAAACACTGTGGGTAATTGGAATATCTTTAAACAAATATTAGATATAATATCTCAGTATGTGCCATTGGGTAATAAATATAAAAGAAACAAATGTATATGTCACTTTCTGTGATTTTGTGGGCAAGTAAACTAATAGATTAAACATAAGAAAAGGACAGTTAAAACATTAGATTGGACAAATCAGAGACCTCCTATATATGATATAAGGAAGCCAATAATGCATGCAAAAAGACAATCAGAGTGGCTAAACTAGAATGAAAGATTGATTGCCAGAGAGAGCAACACCAACCACCCAAAAAGTACATAATTTCTAAAAATAAAATAAAAAATAAAATTATATAAGGACCAGGAAAATGCAGAAGTTTTAAATAACAATTTTTTCTCAGTATATTTAAAAAGGAAGATCCTATAGCAAGATATATGCAAATGATAGCTGCAAACAATTTGAAGCAAAATTGTGATTGGATGACTCAAGACAAGGTACTGCAGCAGCTAAAGAAAGTTAATGTGAATAAAGCTCCGGGGCCTGATGGTATTCACACACAAATACTTTTGGAGCTAAGTGTGAAAATAAGTGAATCTCTGTATTTAATCTTTTAATATTCTTTTCTTTCAGTAATTAGAACAGAGGATTGGAGGAAGGCAGATAGAATGTGACGGCAGATAAGAACCATTCGGCCCATCTAGTCTAGTCATACATAAAGCTCCACAATTTCTATCAAATGGTCTGGAAGAGACCATCTAATTGGTGCACGGCATCAGTTTGCCTTGTATGCGCACTAGGCTCCCAATGCTTTCCTATCAGAAAGATATTAGATTGGCTGAGACCATACAGATATTAATATTGATGAGGAAGAACAGCTGCTAGAGCAAACTGGGAAAGCTGCACATTTGGGTAACACATTAATTAATGGAGATTTTAATTACACGGACATACATTTGGATAGAGGGACTAGTAGTTCAGCAAGGGGAATCAGGTTTTTGAACTAGTTAAATGACACGTTTATGTCACACCTGGTACAAGTACCAACTAGAAAGGATGCTTGTCTGGTTCTGGTTAAAGCAAACAATGTTGATCTTTTGACCAACATTCTAGTAGAGAA